TCGTTCATGTATATGGACGGACGGACAAGTCGGGGATGCTTCTTTCTACACGTTAGATACATTTACTTTTTTTCCCAATTTTAATGGACCCAGGTTATAAAAATGTTCAATTATATTTTATATTTACATGCTTTTAACATAATTTTCATATATTTGAACAATTTTTTATATTTTTTCTGCTTGAGTTTTTGGGGTTTCAAAGTTTGGTTGAGCTTAAAAAATGTACTCTTAATTTTGGGTGTTTGAGTGTTTGATTATTGCATAATATAACATCTAAGAGATATGCTCAAGTACTCACTTACATATGAAGTGTAAATTGAGTCTGACACATTTTGGCCAACATTAAAGGCTTGTTGACTATTGTGTGAGTGTGTGGAACGAGTGTTTGTGTGTGTGTGTGTGTGGCACAGATTTCAACAGCAATTACATGAGGAGCATAGCTTATGGCTGTGATAGGGCCGGGGTTATGGGCCACAGTGACGGCCATAAAAACAAAGACAGGTTCTCAGTTGCAGCCGTCAGAACTCAGTCTTGTTGTTGTGCTGCATTATGCTATATTCAAGCTAAAAATGCGGTCGTGTGGGGCAGGCAGAGGAGTCCATTTATAGGGTCTGCGGGCATAAATTTCGTTAACTGTTACAGCTGCTGTTGTTGTTGTCGTTGTCTTTTGTTGTTGTCTGTTGTTGCTGCTGCTTCTTGGGCAATCGTCAAAGTCTTCGACGTTGTTGTCTTCATTTGCCGTAGTTGTAAACGCCGCTTGTACCAAATACTCGTAACGTTGCATGTTGCTGGCCCCGGAGCTGCTTTTGGCCCTGCCCTCAGCCCCGAACAACGTTGACAAATGTGCGTTTTAGCCGTCTCATTGTTGGGGCAAACTGACTTCAATATGCAAATCTATTGAAATTAGTTGCCAAGTTGCCAAGCAGAGCCAACTCGTTGATCGGCCGTGTTGTTAGCCCGATACGAATCGTGTCTTGTGTTTTTTTTTATTCACCCTTTTCAGAGGCATTACGATTCTGTCATGGAACAAGTCACTCACTGGAGGAAACATCTTAAGCATATAACTCACGATCACGAGTCTATATAGTCACGGGCAGATTATCTACTAGTTGCTCATCAAATTTTGCATGGGTTGCCCTTTCTATTGCAGCCAGTAATCGGCCCAATTGGACGACTATAGCTACTATGGGAATGATTGGTCGAAAATAAAATTGTTTTTTTCTCAATCTTTATCAAACAAGAGTATTTAGTCACCGGCATTCCGAAGTTGGGCCTTCTTTCTTGTTGTAGCTGCTGCTGTTGTTGTTGTTGTTGTCGTGCAATTTGCATGATTTGCCAAAGTTGTTGCTGTTGTGGTTGTTGGCGCCATTTGTTTATTATCTGCGCCCTGTCCCTCTTGCTTGCGACTGATCTTGGGCTTCAATGCTAAGATCCGAATAAAATTCCACAGTTAATTGAATTAAAGGCGGTGACAGGCCCAGGCCCAAGCCGCGGCCCAGGAACAGGCCCAAAACCGGGCTAAAAGGCAGCCACAACCCAACATATCGCGTAATTGGCAGCAACAGTTGCAGCGCGCCTAATGGCCAAGTTTTTAAGTGGAATTCTGTTGAGCTGCAGTGTGTGCGCGATAAGCCTGCACGCACCTTCTGCCACAGTTGGTCTACCTACGACATGCCTACCTACCGCACATCGTTAGACCTGGTCTAGACAGAGGCCTGCGTGCCCGGCGTGAACCCTTTTCTGTTCTTTGTTCTTGTTGTTGCTGTTGTTTCAGAACGCACTCGGGCAATTTGTTGCGCCCCCTTGAGCTGTTCAAAAGGGACAGGCCGCGAGTCGCTTACCTTAATTGCCAGATTGACGCCAGCTTGACGCCAGCTCGATGGCATTAGAATTCCTCCCACCCCGGCTCAGTTGCAAACTGTAACCGAAACCCCATAATCAGTGGCCAACCCGCCACGGCCCGATGTCTCCGCTGGCCCTTGCAATTAATTGGCACGGCTCTCGCGACGCGTCGTCATGCAATTGGCCGCTGGGCGGTCAATTAAATCAAAGCGTTTATAGTAACTTGTCTTAAATTAAAAAGCCTCGCTAATTTTTATCCAGTTGCCAGCTTTATATCTATTTATAAACCGGCTCATGCTATGACAAGTACTCTCAAGCGCACATCAACCTCAGTTTCAAATATTTTCCATATTTTTTTCATCTGTTTTTTTTTTTTTTTTTGGGGGCCGCACGATAAGCACCAAGCACAAGGTTCTCGTTGAAGTTCTGGTTAAGATACGAGACAAAACTATCGCTATTTTGTTGGGTTTCGCCACTTCAGCTGCCAGCTCGTGTGTGCTGAAGTTCCCAAGTACAAAGAGCACCAAAAAAAACCCAATGAACAAAAAAATGCGTAGTTTTGAGTGTATTTTTTTAAGATTGGCTTGACTTTTGATGTCTAGAGTTCATCTTGTTACAATAATTTGTTTACTTAACAATGGCGTTCTAATTCAGTTGATACGCAGTACTTTGAAATTATTCAAGAATTTATCAATTACTTAACCACTTTGGTTCCTTTAAAAAGCAGACAAGTTATATATATGGTAAAAGTCTCTATTTGATCAAGTGTCGAGTGTCTTGCACAAATGTCACTTGTAATATGATTTATAAATTTGGATACGGTTTCTGCTATTTGAAATTTAAATGTAAATCTTTTTGAACTCAGAGCTATATTACAGTTGTTTAATATGCATATACATTGTTTGTTAAGCCAAACATAGGGCAGCAAATATTAAAGTAAAACTTTAAAATGTTTACTGAATATTTATCCTTTTAAATGATACAGTGTAGCTCTAAAGGTTAAACAAATACACATAATTTTAAGACACATTGGGAATATATATATATATATATAATCTATTCCCACAAAAGCAATTAAGTTCTTTGTTTTCTGGTATGATCATAACGCATTTCAAATATTATTTAAAGTATAGACGATGATATCTTTTAGTAAGATTCCCTATAAATAAAATATGTATATTGATGGTAGCCAAAAAGGTCCATTACATATAAAGCTTAAATAAATATGTTAAATATGTCTTAACAAAAGCCAAATTATATTTGTAGTCTTTAATGTGAATGGAAAATTTGTGATATAATAAAAGCTAGACAGATTAAATAAGACCTTAGCCAAATCATCGCATGCTTTGTCCTGCTTAAATATACCGCTTGGTACGTTCAAAATGGGGCACAGTATACAAAGAGTTCTATAAAAATAGCTGCATAGCATGTATATAGTTCTATATATATATATGCACATATAGAAATACATGTTCATTGTCCTTGTCAACAGCAATGCAGAGACAAATTGCAGCTAATCAGCAATGGGAACAACAGCAACAGACACCCGAACAACGTTGTTTCCAGCAGCTCAAATGAGGTTCCGTTCCGTTCCGTTGTGTGTTCTGCGAGGTGCGTTGTCGACGCTGTGAATCTTATCAATTGCAGAAATTAACATATACAAACACATATGCATATAAATATACAAACACATATGCATATAAATATATATATATATATATATATATATATATATATATATATATATGTCTATATGTTCTTTCTATAGCATATAGAGTCTTATCAGTTTGTGTGACAATTTTTTAATTGGGTGTCTGTTATAACATTGTTAGGTCAAGCACCGCTTTTGGCATGACAATCTCCCAGTTCGGTGCATGACAATGCAGCCAGCAGTAGGGTGCGTCATGATAGATCACACAGAAAGACACAGAGAGAGAGAGAGAGAGAGTATATGTATATGTAAGGCATACGAGTAGGATGTAGGCAACAACAGAAGACTGATTCATCGATGGGCTTTTCATTGCGATACTTAAGCGCTAGTTTATAATAGCAGAGCCTAAGAAAGAGCAACTTTGTTTAAATAAGTTGAAATGTATAGTTTATTGGGTGATTTGTGACTGATTCATCGTTTATTGAGATCGAGTTCAAGTTCTATTTTAGCATCCGCTTTCGTGTTAAGAGCGGCAAATGTTGGCGCCACTTTGAAGCGAAATAATCAATAAACTTGGCCAAAATTTGACGTGGATTTTGTGTTTGTTTTTGTTTTTGATTTGGTGCTGCTTAAGTCAAATAAAAATAATAAAAATTATGCGGAGAGCAAGAAAAATGAAATTAATTATAAGTCAAACAAGCATTACAATATTGCCTGGCGCCAGACGCAAAAATCATTAACATTTTTATGACCCGGCGTACAACAAAGAACACCACACATATCTGTCAGCTGGCGTTACCTGTACCACACACACACACACACACACTTACAGAGTCAGACACGCACACTTGATCATAAATCGCAACTAATAATGTCCGAGTTGTCTAACACCTATGAGCCGCCATAAAGACAAATTGAAAGAGAGAGATATTCGACAAATGGCCAATGGCCAATGGAGTTTACCTTTCGGGCGTACGTGCAAAATCGATGGATGTTGACCAGGCCAAAGATGATTCGCAGAATTTTGTGTAGTAAGTGAAATGTGTGGCCCTGGCCTGGGCCGGCCTGGCCTGGTCTGGCCTCATCTTGATAGGCATCATAAAATTCGAAAACCGAAAACCTCGAAAAACCAACAACAAATCAGTTAGCAGCAAATGGTTTCTGTTTAGACCTTAGGCGGCAAGTGCAAATCATTTGGCCGGATCAGAACCGTCTCACTGACTGACTGACGACCAGCTTGCATTAATTTATCCCGAGCAAATTTATCTTACAATTTTTGAAAACCAAAACAACAGCAACAGCAACAACAACCACAATAACAAAGTCCACAAGTTGTATGAAACACCTGCACGGGCAACAAATTATAAACAAAACCAAACAAAAAAAAAAAAATGTTTTTTCTATTTTCAGTTCTATCTTGGCGCCTTCTCTGTATATTTTTAAACTGACCGGCTTGATCTTTTTTTAACACTATATTTTCAGCAATATTTCAAGAGCAGCAGCAATCCCACAACAACAACAACACCAACAACTACAAAAACTGCTACCAGGAATACACAAAATTCGTTTTCTAGTAATAAAAACTGATGCATATTTCTGTGAGCTTGCGCCAACAAATTGCGAAAATGTGTTGCAAATCTAACGCCATGTGGAAATGTTGTACGTCTTCAATTGGCCAGCAACAACTGCAACAACAACAACAACCCATGACGACAACAACACGCAACACAGAATATCACGGCCAAGCAAAAAGGCACAGAATTAACAACAAGAGCCAAAAAGATTTTCTAGGCAGAATTCGTATCCTCGTGTTTATTGTTATGTTAGTCCTGATTCAAATGCAATCTGTGACAGCTGGACTTCGAGAAGGCCTTTCAGGTGAGTCGAAATGCCTACGATATCTATTAATTATGTACAGAAATGATGAAGAAAATTCTGCCTTGAGTAGATCGACAAGGTGGGCAAAATACCTCAGTTGCTTGGGTTGGTACATATATGTATATATATACATGTAGCTGCCTTTGGGGGTTTTTATTCTAAAATAATTGATTTTCCTATAAGTATTAAGAAATACTTAGCTGACTTTAGTCTACTAAAAGCCGATAAGTAGATAACTTAATTACTTGAGTTATTTTTTTCGACAGACAATTCATTCGTAAAGCCTATTGGGGTTTGTTTGCTTTGTTTCAAGCTAGTTCTTTTTTTAAGTTTTTACTTAAACATTGTTTGATAGTATTATTAATAATACATATAATATATACTAAAAAAATTTATTTTATCATAAGACATACGAATGACATAGGTATTATATCAACTAATTATATTATTATTAGGACTATTACAGAGAGCAAGATTACCAATAAATCAGTGAAGTAAGGCATTGCTTTTTGTCAATAGCTACGTTTAAAAATGCAGTTCTCAGAAAATCAACTGGTTAAGGGACTCAGCCATTGAGGCAATTAACTAAAAGCAGGATAAAGAGTCCATGCCTGTATTCTAGGCTTATTAATGTCTAAAATTCGAAGCCTATGCCCCAAATTTTACTCTAAAGGCATTAAATATGATAAATATATATTAAGTATGATATTTAATACAATATTAAATATGACAGTGAAAAGCTGTAGAAGTATTCTAATTAACTTCAAGTCTTAGTCAACTAGCCATCATTCGGAACAGACCAAAAACACAGACAATCTGTTTAAGAATTGGATCTTTAGTTTAGTGGCATTTAATGTAACTAGTTTTTAGTTTTCTTTGACAGATCACAGCACATAGTTAATCTAGTTTTCAGTTTCAAGATCATTTCCATAGAATGGAAATCAATTAAGATTGTCAAGCGAGTCACCTGACGCTCCAGCAGAGTTCTGTTTTGACAGTTTCACCCTGCAACTTGTTAGCCTTCACCTTTACACACCAGCCACAGCTGCTCCGTTACGGGCTGCTGTTGCCGTACGTACGTACAGTCGGGCGTATAGGCTGCCCGTTACCGCTTGCCGCTGCCCATGCCCCTTTCCCTGCCCCAGCTCACCTTAGCTGTTGGCCACACGTGCCGCTCTGGCGCTCCCAACACGTCGCGCTGGCGCTTAATCTGTGATTGTGATTAATCGGACGACGCCAGCGTCCGGCGTCGCCAGCTGTCCGGCTGTTCGGCTACTGAGCGTATTTGATCGCTGCCAGTTTTTAGTTTTATTTTCTATTTTTTATTTTTCTAATTTTTGTCGTGTTCTTTAAACATATTGAGTGGGTTTTTTATGGCATTTCAGTGTGTGTTAAATGAAATAAAAAATCGCATAAATTAGATAAACGTATTGCAATTTTGATATCGGGTTACTTGAACAAGGTTCATTAACTGCCGCCCGCTCGATGGGCAGCCAAAAGAGAAGGGAACGAACCGCGTCCGTTCACAGTCGCTCTGCCACCATGTATAGAAAGTTCCAATAGGAACTAAATAACTTTTTCACTTCATTGGAGCGCCAATGGATTTGTTTATGAATGAAGGTGGTCACAAAAAGGGCACAGCAGGATACAAACGCATAACAGGAAAACAAATCAAACAACAAAAGCCACAACTAGCTACAACAATAACAATCACTTCGTGTAGAAGCTAAATACCAAAGAGATACAAAACGTTGATAATGCCGAGTTGGGCCTAAAACCGAGCAGAGCCGCCCACAAAGGGGCCACTCGCAGCCCTGAAGCTGCTGTATCTGCAATTGTATCTGTATCTTTGTATCTGTAACTCGTGAGTGTGTGTCTTTTATGTTCCTTATGCATCTGTGTGTGTAGCGCCGGCGTCTTCATTTATCAACGAACACACTGAGTCCACGTTGCGTGTGTATGTGTGTGTATGTGTGTTTATCAGCACATTGCAGGTGGTCCCACAAAGCCAGCCCCGGGCATTGGTACGGGCCCTGCAAGTCAGCCTGGGGTCGCTGTGCCGACGTTTCCGTTTGCCTTGTTGCGTTTCATTTTTGTATCGTTTCGAATCGTTACTTTGTAATACCCTGTGCACAGTAGTTTGCTCAAAGAGGGTATGATGAGAAGAAACTTAGATCTCTGTCGGTTTAGAGACATTTCAAAATTGGTATTTTAACTTTGTTAAAAGTGTTTATTATCAAGATAAGATATCATTTGAAAGAACTAGGATCTAAGGCAATATCTCTAAATGTCTGTTGAAGCAAGGTCCTGCTGCCTGAACCTAACCAAACTAATACTATCTCACTATGCATAAAATAGTGTAGCTCAATAAACATTTAGGTTGATGATATGTTATTATATCTTATAAGTTTAAAAATGTTCAGTACAGGGTATTTCTGAGTCTAGTCTTTTTTCGAATAGCACTTTTGATTGTTCTTTTTGTGCTGTGCTGTGTTCTGGAACATGTTTAACATGCGGCGCTTGCTACTTTGACTTAGCGCCGGTGCCAGAGGAGAAAAAGGTAAACCAAACAAAGAGTAACCCAAAATGCAGCCCAAGGAGTTGAGGGAAGAGAGAAGCAGCAGGTGAGGTAGAAGGAGGTGTGTTGCTGTATGATCATCATCTGGCAGGGCATGTTTGGTTACACACACAGGTACACACACAAGCACACACAGAATGCTGATAAAGTGGCCTAATCTCTTTGACCTGTTTGGTTTTTGTTTGGAAGAGCGCTGCGGGTCACGTGCTGGATAACATCTCAGTCAGTGGGCAATTTCCGGCTATGCATGATTGTAAATTAAATATTTGGTTATTTGTTATTTGGTTTATTTGAGAAGCGTCAGTACTAAAATAACAGGAAATTGCAGTTGTCGAGAGACGATTCTAAGAATTTATGGCTGACAAGTTTGTTTTGGGCATTTTTGAACAGCAGCTCGAACAACAACTCAAAACGAATTGCATTCAATAACAATATGTTCTGCTACTTTCTTGCTTACAGGTGATATGGAATCCTGCGCCAATGAAGGTGAAGAGGTGCAAATCAAAGGCATACAAAACTCCAAATGCTTCAAGTGCACATGCCAGGTGAGTCCACAAGGAGGTCTTGCTACCAACTAAGTAATTTCCTGCTCAATGTAATTTTGAGATTTTCCTTGCTGCCGCTCAGCAGGCAGGCGGCTCCAAAGGGCTGCGCCAGCCAAAACTGGACAGCCTTTGACCCGAATAGAACTTAGACCGAGCAATCTATGAAATAAGATACAAATACTAAATAAATCTTATGCGGAGCCTGTCGCTGAAGCTGTCTGGTGCGCTGCATGAGCGACGCCAGTGTCCAGCCAGGACATGTGCAGAACGGATGCAATGTGGATGTGGCCATGTGTCGCACATTTCGCAACGCCTGCCAGACGCCGGCCACGGCACAATATAGTCGTAATCCCCAAACGCCCAAAAAAAGAAAAATATTTCAAATATTTACATTCGACAGACAGCAAATTGCGGCAGCAAACAAAAATTGCAATGCCAAAAGAATGTTCCGAGAGACAGGCCGCAGGACAGACAGGACATCTGTGCACATAAATAAGAACATACTTTGTAAATGTTGAAGATAACTGTGCGTATGCGTAATTTGTCTAGCTATGGTATTTTACATTTGAAAACCCAAAACTAGTTTGACTCTGGCACATTATGGAAAATTTCAGACCCCATAAGAAACGGCAAGCACGCATCAGACGACTTTTATAGGGATTATAACGAAATAGTTTGTTAATAGAAAGTATAACGAAATATTTTGGTAAAAGAGGAAAAATTCTTCAAACGAAAGTTTTTTTTTTTAACAAGAAATGTAAAGTTTTACGTAAATAATAACCAAAGATATGTATATAATTAATGATCAATCACAACAGAGAAGTCAGTCAAAACAAGATCGAGTCGTTACAGTTGATTTTCAAATTATGTGTGTAATTCCCAAACAGTTAAAGCGCTCGGCTTATTATAGCACACTTGACATGTCAAACGCTAATAAATAGCGCTAATGAGCGTTGCCAGACTGCTTTGAAATATAAGCAAAGCAACGTTAATTATTTGTTTGCATTTGCTGGGCATAAAATGTTTGCCGTTTGTTTCTTGGCTTTGGTTTGCATTTGTTTGGCTTTGCTTTTGTTTTGTTGTTTTGTTATTTACAAAGCACAGGCCGCATCTTGGAGTTCGCCTGAAATTGTTATGATGCAAGGTCGTCAAACGGGTTTGCAGCGACATGACAAACGTTAACCACAGGTTAGCCGATCGTTTGACAAACACTTGGCGCCGTGTTTTTTGTCGCCGTCAACGGCTACCGCTACCGCGACGAGGGCTAACACAAAGCGCTGCCCGCGAAGACGTCGTGTCGTGTCGTCATTAAGCGGCGACGGCAGCGGCAGCGCGTGCTGTCGTCGCTGGCGTTGCCAGATCGCGGCTGCATGCCTGTTGCTAATTTGTGCTAAGCGCTGCTAAACGTCGCTGCTCCAATTTGAGCGCCAAGAAGCTTTCGCGACGCCGACTGCGACGCGGTCGATCGATTGTTGTATAGCCTCAAGTCATGAGCTGATGCTGCGGCTGCTGCCGTTGTTGTTGTTGCTGTTGTCAAGTGGGCGTAACCAAAAAAAAGTATATAAAGTAAAAAGGAGAAAAAATAAATGTTGGCGCCACCTCACTTTAAACTGATGGCGCCATGCGTTGCGCCTGCTCTAACTGAGCTACCTGTCCCGCTTGCCCACTGCCGCGCTCTGCACTCTGTCTCTCTCTCTCTCTCTCACTCTCTCTCCATCTCTGTCTGTCTCACATTTTGCGACTGCGCGCCTTTAAAGTTTATGATGGCATCAATTGAACGCATTTGTTTAATTTTGTTGCCTGCTCTTTAAGCACAGCTCTTAAAGCCCACTTAAAGCTCTCTTAAAGCTGTGTGAAAGCTGGGCAATGAATTGCCCTGCAAATGCTTTGCTATAATTCGGTTAGGCCATAAAGCACACACTTTATGATTACTTCTATTCATGCTCCAGCTCTTGTGTACACACATTCATATTCACAGCTCGCACTCGCTTTTCAGTCCCATTGTAAGTAATATTTGCAAACGCGTTTGGTGATTCGCTGATATTTTATGGCTGACGTTTATTATCTTAAATCTCTTAATATATATCGCATATTAAGTACAGTGTGTTGTCTTTCCATCCCCGGGCAAGGACAATCAAACAAATTGTCTGCCCGCTGTCTGCTTTTCATCTGCTTTCGGGGTGTGTTTTTTTTTTCGCAACTGAATTTGTTAACAAATTTGGTTTTTATGTGAAAATTATGCTGAATCCACGCATTGCCTTCCGAATAGCCTTTGATTTGGGCGTATTTTTTGTTCTTTTTATTAAATTTTTTATTTTATTATTTTTTTATTTTGGCTTGTCTAAGCATTCTGCCAGTTGATTGAACATGCGATTTTTTACGATTGATATTTGCAAATTCCATTTTTTTTCTTTGTTGAAAGCATTCAAAAGACTGGGCTCAAAAGTTGTAGGTGGTCCGTATAAACAGCTTGTGTGGTATGAAACAATTCTTTACGATTATTTTAATAACGTGATGACTCAGTTAGAGCAGTTAAAAGGACGCAAAAATTATATTAATATTTATTATTTGCTACATTCAGCGCATTAAGGAAGTAGTTAAAAGTTTATGATCTTGTGAAACCGCTTTAGAACAGTAAAGGTATTCGGGAAGAATGAATAAATTAAATAATAATAAATAGTCTATAAATATTTACCACTCCTGCAAATACACACAATATATAAAAAAAAAAAAAACCCCTACCTAGACAAACATCTGTTTCCCACAGCGATAAATTATTTTTTTAAAACTGCTTTTTAAAAAGCACAGTTAAAAACTACTTAAATAACTTAATCGGTTTAGTTTAAAAATAGAAAACAACTTAATAGCTCTACATACAGGATATCCCACATTGCTTTAGGAATTTCAACAACTGTTAATCCAAATGCAATTCCAGCCACAGTTGCAGCCAGCCAAAGCCAACTGGCCAACAGGCGATTTCAACTAGCCCACAAGTGACAAAATACACATATGAACATAACAAAAAAAAAAGAATATAAACAGCACAGTTTGTCATTACCATATTCTATGAGGCGCAGCAGCGAGCCAAGTTAACAGAGTCTAGAGCGTCTACAGGCCGAGTCTTTGGCTAGATCAGAGTCTTGGCCAAGTTTGGCTAGCAAACGTTTAGTTGCTCAACAGGCCAACAAGAGCAAGCGACTAGCGAGCGGTTTGAGTGTCTCACTTGGATGCGAACGTTGCTGTGTGACGGCGGCGGGGGGCATGCGGGAATGGAGACGTGGCGGCTGCCGAATGGACGGTGTTAAAACTGATCATGTTTTGTCAAACGCAAGGTCGTTGGAGGCCGTTTGCAAATGTGGTTCTGCCACTGTGGCACACATAGATACACACACACACACACACACACACATACACGCACATGTGCTTTGGCATTCGTGATTGCCGCTGGCAAACAACAACAACAACAACAAAATCTCAGCCTCTACTTAGCAGCTTGTCCGTTGCCGGGTCCGGGACGCTTGGCTGCCTTCGTGGCGCCTTTTCTTTTTTTTGTTTGTGTTTTTTTTTTAATAGCAACCTTTGCAAGCAGCTACTAGACAACATCAAACTAAAACAACAACAACAACAACTACGACGACGACGTCGACGTCGACGACTCTGGCGATGCTTAACTTTCATGTTGTCTGAAATATTTCTATACCGGTTCCAGATTAGAAAGAAAGAATTTCAAAGCATAAAACAGCATCTGAAAATGCGTAGAGAGCGTCGTCGTCTTCACAGACATTTCAATCTCTCAATTTTTCAAGAGCATTTGTACTTTGTCTGACTGCCCCTTACCTTACTATAACATTTTCATTTCCAGCCGCTGTCAACATTTTGGATTTGTTGTCCCTCTGTTATTGTTGTTGTTGCTTTATAATGCCGAAGTGCTTTTCAATCTGTCAGTGTTTATTGCATTATGGCACTGAGAGTTACGATGCCCGCACTAAAGGTGCCATTAAAATTCCAACTAACAACTGCCATTAAACTAATACGATGATAAAAATCTCGGAACCGCAAAAAAAAAAAAATAATAATAAAAAAAAAATACCTCTCGACTCTCGACTCGACGCCGCTCGACACAATTTTCATAACAATTGCAAATTTTGCACGTTGCGACGTTGCGGCCCCATCCAAATTGAGATCCAATCTGGTTTGCTTGCACTAAATTATACACACAAGCACACACACCAAACACACATCATACACACACCACTCACACACATACACACACACATTTGAGCCGCGACATTGTTCAGCCGCAACTGCATACAAATTAGTAAAATATTTTGCCTGTTTTTGGTACGACATCTATCTAGATTTATAGATACATTTACAATTAGCCCCAGCCTCAGAGCAGACACTAGCACTAGACTCCATCTCCGGCTCCGTCTCCGTCTCCGTCTCTGTCTCAAGTCTAGAGTTGAGCTGAAAATGCTTAACCTGTCACTGGCATCAAATGCACACAAGGGTTAAAGCCGCCCATTGATTTGAGCCAGTTGGCTTGCTCGCTAGCCATGGCTGAGTGTTGCATAAGCTGCCAGAGCCTTGCCACAAGCTTTTGACTTATGATCGACATCAATTCTAATGCACCGCTTGCCGCTGTCAACATTGTCGTTAACAAAAAACTGTGCAAAATTGTGCAAAATATGCGAGCACGAGGCAAAAAGTCGCACATAAAAAACAACAACAACCGGCCGCAGTCTAGGCCAATTGGACAGATAAAGCCGCTAGCTACCCGTTTGCCAATCAATGCAATCCTTTTTTTTTATTCAACTTGGACTTGTCTAAATGCTACTATGAATGTTAATAGCTCGAATAAGTTTAATGATTAACCAAACTTGGCTTAAGCCGTAAACTGAGCTCTATCATTTCGAGTCCTTTTTATTAATATAAGTAGATTCCCCTAATCCATCATCTAAGCCTGTCAGTCCTGTCTGAGCACCCAGATTTTGCTTATGTCTGTGGCTCTCCAGTTCTTTTTATCAAGTCCTTCATTTGCATCCTTTCTCTGATACTCAACTTCTTCTACATATTCATTTCAAAAACAAATTCGCGAATCTTTCATGCTGTCATATATATGCTCAGTTCTACGTAGTTTTTTAACACTTCAATGTTAACCTCTATTATTTTCGATGTTTCTTATGTACCTTAAGGTTTTTCCCTACTGGTCCTACTCTTTTCCAACATCCCCATAAACATACATCAGCATCATTATACAACATGCCCCTCCCAAAGAAACTTCACTTGTAGCGCATCTAAGGTGTCGGCTATGGCGCGGTTTAAGCCGTTTACCACGCCCTAAAATGTGCACTCAATTCCATATAATTTTGACTCGTTTGCATTCATAAATTATAAAAGACTGCTGAAGGTCAGAGTGCAAGCTGCTTGAACAAATGCAATTTGTGTGAGCGACAAAGCGAGTCAACAAAAGCTGCACCAACTGCAGGTGTAGCCACAGCGCGGGGTACGGGGAAGAGCAGAAGGGTAAACAAATCCGCTGGGCACTTGACAGCAAGCTCTCACATGGCTAAGCGCATAGGCCACATGAGACTAGGGGGGCTAAAGAGGGCTTCGAGCTTCGTCTAATTTATGTGGCTAACGAAAACGATGTGTTTGCGTTTTGCAGAATGGCTTTGTGAAATGTGACAAGAGCTGCCCGTCAATTGATGATTGCTTTCTGATCGACTCCAATTCGAATGACACCTGCTGTCGCAAGTGCAAAGGTAAGTGGAACGCATTGCGCACACTTAATTTAAACTGTAACTAACTATTGTCCATTAAATAGGCTGCATGTATCGCGGTGTGCCCTATGCGAGCGGCGCTGAGTGGAGCGATCCGGATGAACCCTGCAAGACGTACAAGTGCATCGCCAGTGTTGTCACCGAAACAACACAGATTTGTTATTCACAGTGCGACGATAACCAGCTGACAGCGCCACGCCCCGGCGAATGCTGTCCCACATGTCAGGGTAAGTAGCTGGCCCCCAACTGTTTGTCAACAGGTTCAGTCCATTCAACCAGTTCATTTGGCATCAGTCACTAAAATTAGCCAAAAACTAACTAATAGTGCCTCTTAATTCGTCAGATCGTCTGACAAAATAGTCCAAAAAATTCGATTTGTGCACAGATGGTCAACGTTTTTTCCCCTTTTTTTTATCTATTTTGTGACTATGCACGATTTGCTTATTTATGGGCTTTAAATTGTCTATTAAATCGACAATGTCGCATTGCGTTCAGAAAAAAAAGAGCAGCAAACTAGCTGAAATATATGTATGCGACTTGCAGATACCCTGCAACAAATAGTTTTCTCAAAAAATTTCTTTACATATCGAAATTTTATGAAATTCGTTGAGAATGTTCGACAAAGCAGCACGATATAAAGAAATATTGTGTACAACTTGGAGATACCCTGCAAAAATTATTCTTAAATAAGAAATGATAGCTGCATACATGCAAATATATAAAGTCACATATAAATTTAATGTATTTTATTTCCCTATCTTTAACTATACTTTAAACATAATTTCAAATTAAATTTCAATTTATCAAAAAACCAAGCTTTGATATTGAAAGGATCTTTATTTTACATAAAAGAAAGTTGGTTTAAAACTGGCTGTCCCTAGCTTTAATGGACTCTGAGGTTTAATAGGCTTAGACAGACAAACTAACAGACAGGTTGCAGAACCAAATAATATACACTTTAGACATAAAATGTTACAACATTATGAAACCCTGCCAAAACGACTTTAATGCGCGTAGGGTATATTTGGTACGCACGGCCCTCTGCCTATGCAAATAGATCGCTTGGAAACCCGTTTAGACATGTGGAAATTTTCTTGGCTCTCGCCCAATAACAAACACACAAAAAAAGAAAGAAAAAAAGAAGCAGAAGAAATATACGCTTTTTAAACCGTTGTCTGATGAAAATTGTGTTGTTATTGCTTTTGTTGTTGTACACTTTGCAGGTTGCAAGATCAATGGCCAGACCGTTGCCGAAGGCCAAGAGGTTGTCGCCTCGATCGACGATCGCTGCTTGGTCTGCCAATGCAGCAGCGGCAACAAGCTGAGCTGCGCCAAGAAGACTTGCCCCACGCTGCAGTGCCCCAAATCGAAGCAGAAGCAGCTGCCCAACGAATGCTGCCCACGCTGCACGGTGCAGCGCGAGTTTCGCGCGGTCAAAGGTGAGTCGAAGCGGAGCCTAGAATTTGGTAATGTTAGCTTTTGCTCACGAATATGCTCTTTAAATTCGCCAGGCAAGTGCATATTCAACAACAATCTGTACTATGACAAGACACAATTTACGCCGGATCGCTGCACCAATTGCACCTGCCTGAACGGCACCTCGATTTGCCAGCGCGCCACTTGCCCCATATTGGAGTGTGCGCCCGAGTTTCAGGAGGACGATGGCTGTTGTCCCCGCTGCATTGTGGCCGAGGTGCGCAGCGAGTGCTCCCATCAGGGTGTGACGTACATGAACAACGAGACCTGGAATATGGATCCCTGCCGCAGCTGTCGTTGCATTGCCGGCAACATACGCTGCTCCGAGATGCGCTGCCAGCCGGTCAAGTGTCGACCCAACGAGGAGCTGAAGCGTCCACCCGGCGAATGCTGTCCCAAGTGCCTGGAAACTGCCGGCACTTGCACAGTCTTCGGTGATCCTCACTTCAAGACCTTCGATGGTAAATTCTTCAGCTTCCAAGTAAGTTCTACTTTCACAACAACAACAATAATTATTGTATTACGATAGTTAGCGTAACCCGAATTGACATTTATGGGCATATATAAATAATCCATTTGATTTCAATTGATATATAATTGCAATGCTCGTCGTGCTTATAAAACTAACGTATAAATTACTCGTTTAACACAGACTTTTATATGGCCATTTGATTTGCATAGCCAACTTAAGTTTATGGCCCATTCACATTAGCTGAATTTGCTGCCTCCGATATCGACAGCTGCAGTCAACTTGACCACCCGCTAAGTGCAAACATTCTGACTTTTATGCCTGATTAAGACTAAAGCCCTGATAGAGTGAAGCTTTGTAGTAGCATTACAGCTTGTTGAACTAGAAATAAAGTCCTAGCAATGTAAATTCTGAGAGCCAGGCAATGCAGCGCAAGTAAACCTCAAAGACCAAGAAGAAAATTCAACTGTTTCTTAAAACAAACCTTTTTTTGTGACAAAATATCGCTGAAACTTATTGCAATTCCGAATCACGTAATTTCTAAGAGGAGTAAGATGTCTAATAACTTAATACAGAAGAACAGAGCCGGACAATGCCGGGTACAATGCAATTCTATTTATTCGCAAGCAAAGTATCTTTGTTTCAAATGTCAGATAACGAGGCCCGAAGTCACATTAAATTTCTAAGAAACCAATTGGTCATTCCAAATTAAACCAGCGACGAAGTCAGACGTGTTTTCATTCGAGTAATTAATTAAATAATACTAAATAAAAAATAGTAAATAGCCTTCCACAAATCGTATAAAGTAACGTAACGGAGTGGACGCAGCCATGACTGAAAGGAAGTACGAATAAACGAGGACGTACTAAACGAATCTCGTCTAGTATGTGCTTGTGTAGTGGTACCTCGTTCCAGTCTATGCTACGTCCTCTACATAACGAGTATCAGTTGAGATATTCAGTTCAAAGAAAACTGGCATCAAATAATAATCATTGTACAACATTAGCTATATCCCTGTACCTGTACATATTTTCTAGAGCACGAGTAAGAAGTTGTTCCTTTTCTAAAGTATCCCATTGCTTTGTCAAATTTCAGGGCAGTTGTAAGTATTTGCTGGCTGCTGATTGCTATGGCCACAACTTCTCCATACGCCTCACCAACGATGGGCGTGGCACTCGGCACTCATCCTGGCCAAAGACGGTCACACTTAAGCTGCGCGGACTGCGCATCAATCTCGGCCAGAAGCTGCGAGTTAAAATCAATGGGACGCGTGTCATGCTGCCCTACGCGGACCACAGCGGCAACAGCAATGGACATGGTCATAATGTGAGTATTGAGCGTCTGGCGGAGGGCGGCATCATGCTGAGGACGGAGCTGGGGCTGAGCATCGAGTGGGATGGCAACAACTTTCTGCAGGTGTCGGTGCCGGCGCAATACAAGGGTCATTTGTGCGGACTGTGCGGCAATTACAATGGCAGCGGACGGGATGATCTGACGGGCAGGGATGGCCGGGCGCATGGCGACAACGAGGTGTGGCACTTTGCCAACTCGTGGAAGGTGGGCGGACCCAAGTCGTGCTCGCGAGTGAGGGAGAATGTTGTGGCGCCGCCGACATGCAACAAGCGTAAGCCCAACTTCTACTGCCGGCCTCTGCGCGTCTCGGAAGTATTTGGAAACTGTGATAGTAGACTTAATCCCAATAACTACATCGCCTCCTGCCGCATGGACGTCTGCGAGTGCCCCACGGGCAGCTGTCACTGCGACAGCTTTGCGGCGTATGCCCACGAGTGCCGTCGCCTCGGCGTTCAGCTGCCCGATTGGCGTGCCGCCACCAATTGCCCAACAACCAGCTGGCGTCGCAATGCCACCGAGCTCAGCTATGTGGGCAACAGTTTGTACGGGGATCCTAGTTTTCTCAAAGGAGGCGGTGGCGGCACATCTAAGGCGCGACGCCGCAAGCAGCATCACCATCAGCTGCAATTGCAGCGACGCCAGCAGAACGAGCTGCAGGAAAATGAATACATCAAAAAACATGTACCCAATAAATTTTTAAGGCCGCGTGCGCCGGATCGCACGCCGCCGCCAATACACTAAGCACTGAGCATGGATTTAATTATAATTTAGTTGCTACTCATACACACGCACCTATACACACACACACACACACACACACTGTCTCATACAGGCTAATGCAAATGCATTGCTTACTTTAAATGCCAATGACACGGGCTGAAATTATGCGCATTGCATTGCATTTAATCTATATAGTAAAAGCTTTGCATATAAGAGTTTTAACAGCTCTTGAAAGCTTTAAGCTCGCTTTGAGTGTTTGTTATAAAATCTTAAAGGTTGCTGAATGCTTTTTCTTAACCTCAAACTAAATGTGTCTTCAGTTACAGGATTAATTTCAACTGGTGTCATTGGCCCTTGGGGTAGGCATAGAAAAAAAAGTTCCAGATACGAAATTTGATTGTATGTACTTGTAGTTTAATTGCGCATTCGCACCCATGACAGCACCAGTATTAAGCTAAGCATTATCCTCCCAGATCGTACATCGTCAAATCTCTGGTGTTATATATACTTTGTTAGCGAACCATCTCATGCTTGCCTTTATCCATACATTCATCATCTGCATTCGTTGTCGCCATTTTGTTTAGTTCGTTAAGCCCTATTTATTTTAGTAGCTAAGTTATAAAGAAATTTTTAGTGCCCCGGCCTAAGTACTACTCGAAAGTATGTTGTGTATCTGTTTAATTTTTAAATGTATTTGTATGTGTGTATTATCGCTTAAATAACATTTTACATACTACTCGATAACGATAACTTAGCGTATTTATATAGATAATATACTACTATCCGTAATTTTAGTTAAATAAATTTTAGTTTTGCTTAAAATTTAAGCTTTAAACATTTATGAAAATTGCACAAACAGTATTTTTGCTTAGTTTAAATCCCACTATAATACTGCAAATCAGCTACAGAAGGAACAAAATGGGCTATTATCCCGAAACTAACCCCTAACTAACTCTCTCTAACCTTTTAATATCTCTATTCTCTCTCTATCTCTCTCTCTCTTTCTCAATATCTTACTAACTCGACCTTACACTTTATAAAATTCCGTTTATGTCAATAAGAATACTTGGAATCCACACTTTTTGTATATCCAATAAAACGAAAATCAAGTAAAATAAACTGTGTTAATATTTATAACGTTCTTTCCAAGTTACACTTAATAACAAAAATTATTTAAAAAAATATATATGCCATTTTCCAATATTTATAATAAATGTATCATGTTTAATTAATGTAATATGGATCTGTAAATGTCTGACAAAAATATGCTTAAAAACACAAAAAAAAAAAAAAAAAACTCAAAATACAAATTAAAATGCAAGAAACAAAATAAAAACCTGAAAATTTTAAATGCTGTGTTTTTAATGATTACGGAAATGGCACATCCTATGTAAAATTGATTTACCAACAATCCTAAGGGTTGCCTTCTATTCTGTACAACTTGGCAACACTACCAAATAATTTGTATGTTGGACAGTTCCCCCAAATGCCTATATAGGCATTGGTCGAAATTTCCCACCCGCATAGCTCGATTAAATCTCATCCGATTTTCATGAAGTTTGGGTCTTTTTACATTATTTGGCCTCCAGATCAATTTGGCATCTAAGCCTGGCAACATTATTCCTGGTCAATTTTCATGTGAAAATGGTATCCTCAAATATCCTATATAGACATATCCTATATAGACATAGGTCAAAATTTCCCAGCCCCATAACTCGGACAAATCTCATCCGATTTTTACGAGGCTTGGGTCTTTGTTAATGGTTTTGTGTTTAATTTGATTTAAGCTTATATTCAAAGCTCTACATAAGAACTTAATGGATACGTGTTACAGCGATATGGGAAAAAAACAGTGGTAAATTGTTAACGTCCGATTGGTTTTAAACTTATTTTCAATGACCTTTAAGAGAATTTATACCCGCTAGTATAATAATATATCTAGAACAAGATGAGAAGTCCAAGTCGAGGATTCAACTTGGAAAAGTTCCAACTCAAAAGCAATTTTTCAAATCTTATTGATATGAGGGCTGAGTAGCTTAATATATATATTTCTTTCGTTTGTATTCTAAAGCTTAATTTGAACCAGACTCTATTTGAGATCATAGTTGAGAGCACAGAAACGCATTTAAAAGGATCGCACACTTCGATAGAACTGCGCCCGGGTAGCCTTTTCGGATTGCAGAATAATGTTTATGATGTTGTGGCTTGTGTTTGCTGTTGCTTTTTTTTATGTTTCAAGTGGCATCAGATTTGCAGGCACGAACCCAAAAACAATTGCGACAAGAGACGACGACGACACTGCGTCTAGGGTGGCTGCCACTGGGGCTGCAGACGGAAGTGGAAGGAAGTGGTTCGACAGTTGGTGCTATGAGCTCTGCTGTTGGACTGGGCGTTGAATTACACACAAACACACACACATACACATACACGCACTCACACAGTCGCAATCAATTTATGCATGTTTGCTTTGCAATACTTGTCAAAGTTGTCTAGGGCTGTGCACAACTTTGTGTGTAATTTGAACAGGGCAATCATTTGCCTCCGCCTCGGGGCTTGGACATATGGTCATTTCTTGGAAGGCGCAGGCACTACTTAAACACAATAAGCTCGTAAATCGACGTCGATTTAGACTGAAATACAATCTTGTGCGAGTCTGAAATAGCAGGCGCTCCATTGACTAAAGCCACCAACACGCAGTCGCAGTCGCTGCGGCTGTGGCAGTTGCTGTTGCTGCCGCGTTGGGGCACGTGCAGCGCATGCGCAACGAGGCAAGCTGAGCAGCTGGACAATTGGACAAAACTCGTGATTGATGCACGTCGTCTTCAACAGAATCGAGTTTAATGTTTCGACATCTGCCACTGCGCCCGGCCACCGACTGTGTGTGTGCGCGTCGGTCTTTTGTGTATGCTTCCGCGTGTTGGTCGCCTGGAGAGACGACGCCGCCAGCGATTGCCAGCGGCGACGCGTGCTCGTACCTTATCAGGCGCTAACCTGTCCATATTGGCGCAAATGCCGTTTGCCAATATGGTGCGTATATAATTGGAGCGTGTGTCTGCCGATGTCCGTCTCTCTGGCGATCTGCCTTGCGGTCCGTATGTGTGGTGTGGCGCCAGAACGTACGCCAAATTTGGCAATGTGAAATGTTGCTGCTGTCCAGTCGCATGGCATATTCCCCATTGCCCACATGCCGCATACCACATGCTGCATGCCACATGCCCCATAGGCATTAGAACGTCGCCAGCCACTTAAAATCAGCGATTTATCATGAGGCAATGTTTGCCCTGCACAAATGAACGAAATGGGCGAAAAGTCGATGAGAGATATCTAAAACCACATCCAATGCCCAGTGCCCAATGCCAAGTGGCCCTTCAATATTGCAAAGAGACTCATAAAGATGCGCGGCGATAAGCCGAGGCACAAGCATATGGACAATCGCCATGCATCATCATTGTGGCGGCACAGAGTCCTGAACCCTTGAATCTCTCGCAGACACTCGAATATCTATCCAATGTCTTTGAGTGTGCATAAGCGAGTGGCAAAACGCATGAATCACTTTTGGCCGGGGGCACATTCTCTGTGCGTAGGAGTCCGTGGCCGCCATTAGCGGCATATGTCAGCAGCCGCCCACGTAAGCGGGCCCCAAGGGCTGCACTTTGCGGGTGGCTTTTCCCACGCAAAAGCCCAACCGGAAAAGCTAACAGAAATCTAACTATGCGTTCTCGATGACAGATGCGAGCCCCGCCGCAAACCCAACCGCTTGTTATTTATGTGAATGACTCGGCTTTTGCGTCACAATCACATGTGTGTGCTTAGCTGTGTGTGTCTGTGTCTGAGAGAGTGTTTCAAGCAGATGCGGCCATCAATTGTTGAAATAAATTAAAGCATACTCTTCGGCGGTGACCTAAATGACTGAACAACGGGGTGGCAATTTCCATTATCACGAATGCCCCATTTACACCAAAATGCAGCAAATTCAACTTGGGGAATCATAAATGTTGACATATTTTAAGTCAATAAATGTTAAAGACTAAGAAGGATTAGTATTTACCCAGCTACAAAATGTTTCCATTCTTTGAGTAAACTAATCTTTTGATATTTGATATTTGCAATTATTAAAATGTATATACTTAAACAATTTGCCTTGAATCTAATCTGAAATTCATGTTTATCGTGCCTAGTCCTTAATCCCTTAGATTCCTTTCCCTCCATTCGACCCCTTACCAGATTTCTTAAGTTTTCTATCGAGGGCTTGTTTACGTTTCCTATACGAAAAAAAATTATTTCTACTTGTTATCCTTGCTAACGAGTGTAAATTAAGGACTCGGGTCCACGAATTTCGTAAAGAATTGCAGTCATACAAATTTAAATCAAAAGATAAAATCATCATTTAATATTAAACGGGCAATTTGTACAATCTGGGCAGGCTTTGAATTTCATCAAAAATTGTCATTTTAAATTTTGTGCTTTAAAATATTTAGCTGCATTCAAAGCAACTTAATTTACAATCTTTATCCATGGTAGAACTCAGCAGGGCCTTAATGGAAGTATTACTACACAAGCACATGCATCACGCGGTACGTGCGGCATGTCCTCGTGTAATAATACTTGCTTTTAGTCCCTGTTGAGTCCTGCACATTGATAGTATGTCGTCTGGTACAAAAGAAATCTTAGGCAATATAACTTACAAACTTTACTTCCACTTGCTGTGATTCTAAGTTCCTTGGACTAAGTAAAAAACGAAAACAAGGTGAGCGCCCGTATTTCTTTCTTTAATCCTTTATCCTTTCAATATATTCAAAAGCAATATGTAGTCTGTATTTTTAATCAAGTTGAGAATCAGATTTAAGTCTTGATTGCAGGGTAACTATTTAGGAACTCATTTCTAAAGTCTTTCTAACTACAATAACATTTTGAGTTTACAATGTTCATCCCATATATATATATATATATATATATATATATATATATATATATATATATATATATAAGTCCAATAAACTTCACAAGTCGAGGCTATATAAAGTTGATGAGCTGTTCAATTCGTTGCCTTCTGACATTGTAAGCTATTTAAAATACAAATATATAATTAAATACAAACGAGCTGGAATATAATATTGTTTATAGCCCCGCAGAAAAACAGCAAACAGCGTGTGAAAGTGAGTATTCGATTACACATTGAATGAATGAACAAATGAATGAATGAATATGAGTGCTGAATATTAATGATTATTTTTCTGCGATGTTTCATTCTTGCCTCGATTGATTTTAACCAATTTAATGTGCAATCAAGTATTCAACGTTGACTCTCATGCCCATGGGGTGTGTGTGTCTATCAAAACTTTTTGGATTTTTTGGGATTTTCTAGTTAAATTAATAACCCCCCTGAAAGCTTATCTGGGCATGGGCAATATCGCAGACATTTGCATAATTAGCAAAGAGAGAGAATGCAGGATGTGTGGCTAAAATATGTATAGACACTTATAAGTTAGTCTGCTGAAAGTCAAACCGATTCAACAGACACGCAGGCGTCAGTTTCATATGTTTTTAATACCCTAAGACAGAGAGTACCATAAATTTGTCATTCAATATGTAACTGTGATATTTGTTCAATCGTATCTGTGAAGCAGCTATGTTTGAACTTATATTAAGAATAATAAAAAATTCGGTTTTCGGTGCATTTCTTCAAACAAAACCAAACTATTACAGCCTATTTCAACAATTGTATACTTATATTTTATATTTATCTGACAGTTTTCATAAGAGTCCGCATTGGAATATTGTATTTATAAACTTTTTTCATTATTTTACTTAATTAATCAACATTTGTTATAGAATAATTAGATAAAACTCATTTCTTTTGGCACAATTAAGTCCCGACTGGACTCTTTAAATGTCAGTTATAAATAGTTGAATAACATGTGTACTATAAATAAAAGTAAGCAATATTAAATTCAAGCTTTACCGGCTTTTTTCAACTAAGTTTTATATGTCAGCAAATTGGATTTTGTTGTTTCCATCTTAAGATATTAATTTGTGGACTATTAAACAAAACACGATCAGAAAGTTACGCCCAATCTATTTACTTTACTAATATATCTCTTAGCACTTTTATAGCGCTGCACTCTAGCTCATAAAAATAGCTATGCAAGTGTATTTGAAGCTTTACTTTGTGTTATTTTGTTTTTGCCACTCGACTCAAACAAGTTGCCACACAATGAGACATTTCGGCACATGGCAATTTTTGTCAATATATATATTATTATTAATTATATAAATTAGCTTGTTATGTGCTTTTTTCCCCTTTCTTGCCAGCGGGCGGACAGACATTTCAATTCAAATCATTTAATATGCGACGCAAGGCAAAGGCGAAGACAAGCTAAAGATACACAAATTATTGTGCACAGACGATCATCGCACTCATCATCATCATCATCATCATCATCATCATCAGTAAAGTGTAATTAAAGGCAATTATGCACATGTCGCCCTGTCTCGCCCGATGCTAAATTATGACGGAAGTTGTGAGCTTACAATCAATGCCCGAGGCATTAATTGCGATTATCTAATGCTCAGTTAATGTACAATGCGCATATGCATATTGATTAATATAAATATTATTAATGTTTACTGCGGCGCCTTAGATAACAATTTAAATCAATGCAACAGATGTCTTAACACGTTAGGCATTCGGCATAAGAACTTATTGGGAATAATATGCAAAATTGAGAGCTGAGAGAAAATCAATCAATCATTAATGAATAGAAAGTCAAGAGATGTTTAATAGGCTGAGGGCTCCTTTTAAATCTTAAGTACACACTTAAACAAAAAAAGGCGTTTGCGCAGAAATCGGCTAATAACTCCGACTTACGTCGGGCCTTTGCTGTTTGGGAATCACGCCAGAAATTTCATCCCTTACAACGAACTCTAAAGGAGGTGTAGAGAACTGATTGAGAATTATAAGCAAATTTTTCTAAATTAATAAAGCTACTATTGGTACAATTGGCACAGTATATAAACCCATTAAAGTTGTATATTCATTCACATTCAGAATATTCTAATATGTTATGAATATTTAAAGAGAAGTGTAATAAATCATAATAAAAAATTACGTATATTTTTTTTTATAATTAAGTTTTCAATATTTAAACACATTAAAGTTAATTGCTTGCTTTTGAGAGCTGCGAATTTCAAGTTAAATACCATTGAAATAATTCTCTGCCCCAAAAATAAATTGAATAAACTTTTAATTTGGTTAAATACATAAGAACCTAAGAAAATTAATATTTTTATTTCTAAAATTGTTTAAATGTGTTCAATTAGCAGTTAATTGAATTAGTTAAATGATTTGCACTAGTAAATCCATGCGACTGTCACTAAATCAAGCGCAAACTTTGATTAGCCGCGCGGCCCGATTCGCGAATGGTTATCGCCGTTTGCAATTAGCATATTTTGGCCACTAAGCTTAGTCTAATGAATTGACACTAATATGTTGAATATTGTTGTCATAAAAATCGAAATCAAAAACTTGCTGCTACCCATGTCGACTAATCATTCATTGCTAACAATAAATACTGTTAAGAAACAATTCAACTGACGCCCACAAATTAGGCAATGCGACAGTCGACGCAAAGTTCCCATATGCATAATGCCATAGATCTCGACAGATCGCCATTGATCTTTTATGGGTACATAAATTGAAACGTGCTCGTTTTATAGTCGACAAAAACAAAAAAAAAAGAAATAAAAAATAAAGGCTTAGCTCGTGGCTATCAAATAACGTTCAATGGACTTATCCTCTAATATTTGTAGCGTATAAATACAATTTGTATAAATATTTAACACAACGCTAGCCGAATTTGTATGCTCTGTCGGCAAGAATTGGGATTGAAGCCTAAGATGACGCTGACGGGAGTGAAGCTTGCTTAATTCTCGTGTTCCTGGTCATTCCCTCAAATTAATATTTATGTTTATTTATTAACATTGTTTTGTATAAACTTGTTCTTGGTCGTTTTATCTTAAACGTGTTAGAAAGGCTTGGTTCACAGAACGAAATGGCAAGAGAAATAGAAGTAGAATAAATACACTCGGAAAAACAGTTGAGAAAGTTATGATTTAAACAAGCTATTAAATCTACCCGAATGTGTGACAATATTTTTAACAAAATGTTGTACTTAAAATATTATTTATAGAATGTTTCCAACAGTAACTAAATCAGAAATTGGCTAAACTCATATTCAAAAAGAATTTACTTAAATTTCTTCAGCACATTTAAAGGTATAAAAGTTGTTTTTTTTTGCATTTTCCTTCTAATTCAAATTCACAAGGAACGTTTATGATTGTCTCATAAAGTTAACTTTGGATTTTTAAAGGAAAACTCTTTAAATTGCATTCTTGCAACACTTGGAAGCAATTTTAAGATTGTTTCATTTCTGATTAAGACCGAGGCCTGTCATGCTTCGAACATCTTTCTCTGAGTGTATTAATACAAATAAATATATAGTATATCTAAGAGTTAAGTTAACTAACTTAGCACACACGTAAAGCTTGGCTGACTGATTCTCAGATTCTCGTCTCTGGCTCGGAGTCTGTCTGTCTGGTCAGCGCTATTCATTCGGACAGAAACATTCAATAAAGACGGCCACGCGAATTGGCCAGACTCTCATTGAAAGCGTTAGGTTCAAGCAATTCCTACACCCAAACGGTTCACAAATCAATTTGAATTAGCTTCAACAGCTATCAATATTAATTTTCAATTTGTCGTCATATAAATTCGTGTATTATTTAAATCAAAATTTAAACGCGTTGCGCTCGTTTTTGTGCAAAATGTCAGCATTTATAACCTCAATAATCTGCTTGGCTGTACTCCAGTTGTTCCTGCTCCACCTGGCCGCAGGCAAACAGTTCAGCTGGTGTGATCCCGATCTGTGTGGTGCGGGCGTCAAGCACATCGCCTGTCGCAACAATGGCGTAAGGGTCAAATTATAAACCCATTCTCTATCTGTTAATTGAACTGTCTTTTCGTTTGACTGCAGCATTTTCACAGACGCTGCCAGCCCGACTCCTTTGAGGTGGACATCTCTCGGCATAAGTCGTACTTTGTGCACGGTCACAACAAACGCCGCAATTTTGTGGCGTTGGGCAAGCTGCCCGGTTATTATCCCGCTGCACGCATGACCACCATGGTAAGCTTGGCATGCAGGGGCATCTTCTTGCTCAGATTGACTGATTCCACAATTCCAACTTAGGTCTGGGATGACGAGCTGCAGTATTTATCCTCGCTGAATGTGCGCACCTGCATCTTGGATCACGATGATTGTCATAATACGTATAGCTTTGCCAATTCGGGCCAGAATCTGTGCGCCATTTGGCGTGATCGCAATCCCCATGTCAATGTGACCAGCCTCATTGAGGAGTCGTTGGGACTGTGGTTCAACGAGTACGACTTGATCGATAGCAGCTACATTAACAGATTTCGTGTCACACAATATTTGTAAGTATAATACTCTAGTAATCGAAATATAAATTAAATATATTTCTATTACTTTTGCTATTCCCTTAGCGAGGACTATGGTCATTTTGCGGAAATGGTTGTGGATCGTAACTCGCGCATTGGCTGCTCCATATTGCGTTTCACACGTCCCGATTATCCCTATGTGTACATCTATAATGTGGTCTGCAATTATGCATCTATCTACGCATTGGATGCGCCCGTATATGAAGTTGGACGACCCGCGTCCCGCTGTCAGACCGGCAAAAATCCATTCTATCCGGGTCTGTGCTCGACACGAGAGCAATATAATCCGAACTACTGAACGATCCGGTGTAGTGCATAGATATAATGCTCAGGTATAGAACTGCCAGGAACTTAGAGATCACTGTCGTCTGTATTGTATTTTACATAAGATCGTAGCTTAGTTGTAGTTGTAGTCTTTGTTTACCAATAAATAACACCTCAGAATATTAACCATAAATTTATTGACATAATACACCCACTCGACAACTTTTGGCCCAACATCAGCGTATGTCATTTTATAATAATAATATTTATAATTAGTAAATGATTTGTTGTAAAACTGCCTGCTAGTTAAATACACTCCAAACTGCCGGTGAGTATTTAAATTTTGTTTTAACGAGCTTAACCAAATAATGCCAAAATTAATGAGCGACGCCTAGCCATGCGAATGCTCGACTAAAATATACCCTAACCAGACTTGAATTAAGTAAATGATCTGAACATCTTGTTCGTAGGTAAATAAATAAAAATAAAATTAGTGCTTTTTACTGTCCATCATATGTTCGGCAGCCGGATATACCCGGTTCGTTTGTAAGTTCGGGTATTAAACAGAAGTTTGGGTCCAGGTTAGACAGGTTAACATTTGATAGCACAGCACTTTCGTTTGTTGTGCCCAGGCCAACAAAGTGCCGAAAGCTCATAAAACTCTTGTTCAAATATGCAAATATTTGATTCGCTTTTATGCTTTTATCCGGCCTGCAAAACAGCTGCTAATCTGTTGAGTTCGACAAAGAAGAATATAAAAACCCGTATTGGGCAGCTCAAACAATTCAAGCTTGTTGGATGCACACAGGGCCTGTAATGTCACTGAACCAAGTGGCAAGCAACACCCACATTGGGGCAACCTTCTTAGATGTCAGATCTTCTACATGAACCTCATTCAACTTTGTTTGAGTCAAGTTAATGGTTTGCTTTTCTCAGAAGAGTTGAGTTGAATGTACTCTAATGTTTACTTTTTTTTTTGAGATTACATGCTTTAAACACTATGCTGAACTGCAATTTGAACTTACTTGGCTACCAACTTGTCAAATAAGAGTAGTAAGGCTTTTAACCCAGACTTACCGCAGTTCCCGCCAGTTTGTGTTTGGCCAACTCGCGGCTAAGACGCTTCGGTTTGATTTTCTGGATTTGCACTTGACACGCGCTTTGGCGGCATAACGAAGGATTAAATTGCACTTTAATAACACACAATTATACACACTTTGACTAAACTAAATCACTTTCATTTGAATAAAACCAAAATAAAAAAACAAAGGCTTTGCACGCGTCGATCATCATCCTAGCAGCTGATAACTGCAATTCGATAACAATGTTAAGCGTGGTGAATTTATCGTTAAGGTGGATTCTCAGTAGCTTTCAAATAAGACATTGATGCTTATTGCCAATCGCTTTGATATTTTCGATATTTTCAAGCAGTTGGCAATGCGGGACACGGCTTTTGTACCATTTAAGGAGCTGCCAACTATTTTGAGAGTTTCCCTTTAAAGTCCTTGCCTATATTTATTAACGCTCCAGCTGAAGATGTACATACATATATATCTGGAGATATATAAGTTATTTAATTATTAACAAATACAATAAAATATAGCTGAGATGGTCATAAAAGTTCAACAAACTGAATGTAAGCCAATTGTCAAGCCGATCGCAATATGCAGGTTGCGGTTAGTTGAATTTCTGTACGTGTTGTGACGTCACTTCGCACATTTTGACCGTTAATGTGTATGCATTTGTAATTTGTAAAAGGCAGCGTGACCTGCCTTAATCGACGCATCGACTTGGGTTTGGGGCAACTGCACCTGACGGCTGCTTATTACAAATGGACGCTCGAAATATCCAAAAATAAAATTTGATTTCGGTTCATTTTCATATAAATATTTCGCTGCCAGCTGCCAGAATTTGCATTTCCAATACATTTACTGCAGCGGCCAGAACATGACACTGAGATCTTATTTGGGATGCATCTGCCTGCTGAGCCTGACAACGTTTGTGGCCAGCACGGAGTCCTGGTGCGATGAACAGCTGTGTGCCGCGGGCACCACTCACGTGGCCTGCAACAATACTGGCGTAAGTTTTGACCTGGCTCAACAGCAGCAACCTCCACTCACTGAGATTCTCTGCAGGAATTCCATGAGAGATGCGCGCCAGATGCGGTCATGATCAATTTGCAGCCACATCGCGACTTTATCCTGACCGAGCACAACAAGCGGAGGAATTTTATAGCCGCGGGCCTTCTGCCCGGCTACTATCCGGCAGCGCGCATGGCCACAATGATCTGGGACGAGGAACTCGAATATTTGGCCACCTTGAACTTGAAGACGTGCCATCTGGAGCACGACGATTGCAACAACTCGTATCGCTTTCGCAATGTCGGTCAGAATCTGTGCGGTGTGGACCGGCAACGGAATATGCCATTAAATGTGCGGGGCATTGTGGAGAACTCGATGGGTCTCTGGTTTGGCGAGTATCCACTCATCGACAGCAGCTACATAACCTCCTTTCGTGTGGCCAGGCATCTGTAAGTCAATCCCTGTTCTACTTTAATATCGCAACTAACCGATCTGCTTCCCAGGGATAAATATGGTCACTTTGCGGAGACTGTGGTCGATCGCAACACGCACGTCGGCTGTGCCATGATGCGATTCACGAATCCCCAATACCCGTTCCTCTACATCTACAACATGGCCTGCAACTATGCCAGCACCTATGCCGTGGGAGTGCATGTCTACAAGGTGGGTGAACCTGCCTCGGAGTGTGAAACAGGTGCGAATCCCAAGTACCCAGCGTTGTGCTCGCTCAAAGAGCAATATAATCCCAATTACAATGATTACTGATTAAATTGATTACCAAAGATATAAATACTTTGATTTGATTTGAGGTGCTTTCTTCCGGTTGAATCCCTCTGTCAGCCTTTTCTCATTTCTCCACTTTTTTATTTGTTTATGCACGTTTCCGTCCAAAGAATGAAGCTGTTAATTGCCAGCCAAATTGACTTAATGCTAATGAACAATCCCCTATATGTATTATATTTAAATATCATTTAAATCGCGCGCGACAAAAGCTGTGAAAAGTTCGCACTCGCACAGTGGGACAAAACATCGTGTTCAGTTGATGGAATTATGGGCTTCACCCCGAGAGGCTCGATCTCAAACACAAGTCGACCATAATTTATAGGGCTTAAAATCAATGTTTACGATATTTGTTAACAGCCTAATTAAGCATTAAAAAGCGCTCGCCTGATTTATGGACGATCAATATAATAAACACCTTTTAAAAAAAAATCATATGTTATCTGAATAACTGTTATCTGAATAATTGGTCTGAACCAATTTTGTGAAATTAAGGTTAGCCGAAAACTATTTCATTTAACAACAACATCAGATTACATTTAAAATATGTGATATCCCATTCTCTCAACTTTCTTATAGTACTTTATATGTGCACAAATTTCACGTGACCCTTAGTACTTCACGGTATTTATCCCTAACAAGCTGTTGCTCTGCATGTGATTGACCTTTACTCGAGAATGTAATTAAATAAAAAAAAAGGTGCCTCGAGATTAAGGTATCTCTCATCTCGGGCCACCCAAGCATCAGGTTAAACGCAGCAAAATTAGTTACCCGCTGAGCTCATTAATGTCGCAATTTCTCACTCAATTCATGTACAGGTTACAAATTATCCGAGATCTGAGCACACACGTCGCCTGTCAGGAGCCGCTTTTCTCTGTTTCATGGAAGTAAAACATAAAGGAGTTCAGTCCAGAAATATGTCACATTTATCCCAGTTTACCCTATGGCTTATAGATTGCAACAGGCAATAGGAGAAGAGAATGAATGGCATATATCTTCCCAATATCAAACTTTGAGCCTTGTAACCTTGATCTGGATCAGGACTAAAAATTACTTCCTGCCCTAAGGATCCCTCGTTTTATCGGGCCCCTGGTTAAAAGTAAAAAAAAATTGGAATTTCCGAATTCGCACAGGTTCAGTTCAAACCCAGATTGTAGCGTTGTCTTGAATCATGCCTATGACAGCTACATATAAGCTTAGGCTAACCCGTCCAATTTCAACTTATTATCTACCTAATGGAATGCATCACAGCACAAACATAATGCACTCGGCGCAGCCAGGCAGCAGGCGAAGGGAGGGACCTACTCCTGCTGGGCTCGTGGATGTCGACATTTCTCACTCAATTGCGGCCAATTTACGAGGCATTGTTGAGCCTGCGGCTGGTTAAACTGAACACTCCATATAAGTTACAGCTTCATGTGTGGGATTTGGATTTCGAGGCACAGACACAGGCACAGGCCACAGACCACAGCTGACAGGGGATCAAAGCCCACACGATGCATGCCAGACGCAGCGTCTGGCTGTCTGACAGAGTCTGGCCAGGCGGACTGCAGCTGGGCCTGGAACAATGCGTGTGTAAGCGTGCAGCTATATCTCTGACTTTTATCGTGTTTTATCTGCGCAGCGATGCATCATAAACGAGTCCACACACACGCCCACATGACCAGAGCCTGCTCTGCCACCAGACCAAATCCAGTTCTATTGCCAGCCGGAACCTTCGATAAGACCGCAGCAAATAACTGCTCAATGTTAGTTCTTGCATATATTTTGCAACAAATGTCCGATAGAGAAATCGTTCAATATATTATACTAGTTATTGCATTCAGCAATTTAATTTACATTTTTGTAGCTTCATTTAATGCATGCCATCTTCTGAAGAACCCTGTTGAGATTTGGGTGGAATCGCCGTTGCCAGTCAAATGGTGCTGTAAGTCAGCAGCCCATTTCCACGATCCTGAGCTTTCCTGCATATAGAATACTCTATTCTTGTATTCTCAAGGTAATAAGCCAATGCAAGTCTCTGTTTACAGCCCAAATCAGCCTGGTTGTGTCAATCAGCGCTCCATCCTCGACGCTCTAGAGCTTTTGGGAACATAGAACACACTTCATAGTTCACACTTCTCCCCTTTCTCCCTCTAAAATTTAATCGACGCATCAGCTGAAGTAAGTCTATTTATCTTGTTACCAATGTAGGGGACAAGTAAAAACCAATTTCCTTCTGTGTAGAAAACACGAATATATTCTTAGATAGTTTTCACATATATATATATATATATTTAAGACGTATCTACTTGAATTAGAACGAATTAGATGTGTGCGTAGAGGCTACCACCAAATACCCAAATCGCTGAACAGTTCCTCAGTGGTGGGCAGCTCGAAATCCTCGTTGACCCACTCGGAGCGTTTGCCTTGCTTTTGCTGCTGCTCGCCTCCGGCAGCGTCTGCGGGCCCATAGTCCTTGCAGTAGCCCATGTCGCGCAAGTCGTCCTCATCGTACTCCTCCTCCTCGTCCTCCACAGCCTCCAGTGAGGTGCCCAAATGGGTCTTTCCAGCGCGTGCCACTGGTGCCATGCTGTCGCCCAACATACGCTGCATGTTGCCAATCTCGTTTAGCGGCTGTGCAGACGGCACCTGTTCGACCTGTTGATCCGTGGTTGCCGTTTGCTTGGTCGCCTGCTCATCCGTCGAGGATGTGGCCAAGCGCACTATGCGGTCGAAGAGCGTCGCGAAATGGCGCCTGAAACGACTGTAGTCGAAGCTGTCCTTGCTGGTGCTGCCATCGAGCAGGCCGTGGGTTGATGTCGACTTGGAGCGCATCAAGGGTCCGAAATGGTGCAGCATATCGATGCCGGGCGCCATCGATTCCTCCCAGATCTATGCACGCACATCTATTCAATTTCTTTCATTTTTCAAAACATGCGTCATTCACTACCCACCAGTTCTGTCCAATCCTCTACAGGCACGCTCAGCACCGAGCTGACAACATTCACCACCCGCTCCTCCAGGTTCAATGCATGTATTATCCATTTGGCTAACGATACGGCGCAGTTGAGGTCGCTGCGCTGCCTGGACACGAGCCGTACACGGGCCGAAACAAAAGTAAACAACTAATTTGTCAATTACCTTTAGGTACACATACACTTAAACACAGTGGCTCAAAGATAAGTTCAGCCAGACGCCAAAATTGATTTAATACATAAAAAACAAGACGGGCAAGAAAGTGCGATAGAAGCGGCGAAACGATCGATGTTTAAAACAAAACGGCAGATATATAAAATAAGAGTCTAAACAAAAAGGTTTAACCTGCATGCAAATAAAAAATATTAAATAAGAAAAATAATTTTTCAATGCCAAATGAGCCAAAACCTTTGATATGATATACATAAATATGATATATAGTATGGGATAATTAGGTGATAAAAATAATAAGTGAAATTAAATACTCTATAAAAAAATCGAATTTCTAATTATATATTTCAGCAACTGTTGGAAAACAGTTCTCAAACACTGTATGCATTCTGCGTGGGTGGGTAATTACTGGTCGATTATTGGTAGGTGTCTACCTTACCTGTGCTCATCCCTCCGTATTTCGAGCAGTTTATCGCCTTCCAGTATCAGGTGGTCGTAGTTCGCCTCGATTTGCATGGTGAGGGCCTCCTTCGGCTCGCTCTCCGACTGTTCCTGTAGCTGACGCTGCAGGCTTTTGAACTGTTGCCATAGCGCCTCCAATTGTTCCTGCAATGTCAAAACATTGGGCTACAAATAACCTGGCTCTCGCCTGGCTCGGACATACCGTTTGCTTGCGTATATTCTGCTGTGTCTCGTGGTGCACATCGGCGCGATGCAGTATGGGTTGGGCGGGTATGAAGGGAGCGGCCATGATGCGCTCCACACAGCGATTGAGTATGCCTCGCTTGGGCTTCTTTTTGTGCATTTTGAGCAGGCTCGCATCGCTGTCCAGTTGCAGGGTGGTGTTCACAATGCGTTCCAGGATCATGGCAAACGTTTCCACACAGTCCGATTGTATTCTGTGCAAAAATATGGCGAGCTACAGTAAAGCCTAGCTAATTGGGATGTGGCGCTTACCTGATCCGATTCGAGTTCTTGGCTGCCACCACGGTTATGAGTTCGGTTAGCTTTTCCAGGCCAGGGCACAGCAGCTGCAGGCCCAGGGCCTGAGCATCGCTATCCGCCTCCAGGAACTCACCAAAGAAGGTGGCCAGCTTGGGCGGCACGTGCTTGCTTTTGATGGTGTAGGTGAGCTTGATGCCCGCCGCCTTCTGTGGCTGACAGCTGCGATAGAACATGGACAGCGGCAGATAAGCGCTTTGTTGCAGCACACGAGGTATGCCCTGATGGAGCCGGAGACAGAGATTAGTCAGAGCAGAAAAGGAGCCTCACATGCTGCTTACCCGCGGGCTAACAAACGAGGCAAAGACCTCGACACGTGTGCTGTGCACATGCAGCAGTTCGGCTATGTAAAAGTCGAGCGTTAGCTCCTGGTTGCTGCCCGCTGGCACATCCGTCAGGCTGAGCGTCTCCTGGCTGCAGCGCACGCCATTGGGCGTTTGTATGACCAGCTGCAGCTCCGCCAGCTCTGCCTTGACTTTCAGCCTGAGCAAACCCTTGGCCGAGGGCAGCTCCTTAACGGCCACATCCGCCGGCACGTCCAAGAGCAGCGTGTCCAAGTCATCGAAAACCTCACGCTGTATACTAAAATGGAGACGCACCTGATCCGCAGCCTGCTGATTGAGCGCGTCCATGTCGCGTATGTCCACCGACTCCTTGATCTCATCCTCCAGCTGCTGCAACTGCTTGTGCGCCTCGGCAAAGCTCAGCTCCTCCATGTTGAGCGGCAGCACCTGGAACTGATACGGTTGGGCGCCCAAATAGCCAACTGTCAGCTGCCCCGTGGCAGTCAGGGTGACAATGCTGCCCGCAAGGCTCTGGACATTGGAGCGCTGTATGGCCACAGGCGCCGGCTGCTGCCACTGGGCCGCCCAAATAATGTTGGCCTCTTCGTAAATGTGCAGCTTTGCGGTGTCCGAGACAATGGCCGTTATGAGACGTGCACCAGGCTCTGCAAATGGAGGATGCAATCATTGGCTTTTCCGGCAGCCAATCTCCCACTTACCCCAGTAGTAGCCCACGACAAAGCTGTAAAAGCATTTGGGCGCATAGTCCAGCTTGAGTATAAAATTGAATTTGCCATTGTCGTCCAGGCAGATGAAGTTGCGCTCGCCCAGAATCATGATGTAGGAGCAACTCCTGCAGATTGTCAACTGTCAACCGGAAACCGAAAACATATTCAATGCCAAATGCAACTTACTCCTTCAGCTGGACTACGCGCATGTCGAGCATGCCCTCGCCAATGCACTGCGACCAGATGGGCTGGTAGCTGCTCTTGGTGACCAGCGAATGAGACAGATCCTGATAGCTGAAGCACTGCAGATGCCAGGTGGCGCTCAAGCGAAAAAAGCAATCGGTGCGCTCACAGTAGACCACCGGAGCGGGCAGACTACGTTGTCCGGGAAAGCGACACTCGTAGCTGATGCCATCCTGTTCGTAGAAGGTGAGCGTACCATCCAAGTGCACCACACAGAAGAACTCTCGGCCCTTGACCTGGCCAAAGTGACCCTGGCACATGGAGAAGGCGACACGCTGAAACTTGTGCTCCGCCAGCTGCTGCAGCTTCAGCTGGGCGCCATAATCGGCCAAGCCACTCAGCGCCTGCACGTTATAGATGACAATCGCATTGGGCAGCAGCACGGCCAGCTGATTGGTGTTCTCGTTGCGCACATTTCTGCGAATTGATTAATGGATAAATCCTCTAGACTTCGCATTGCTGCATAGCTGAAGTACCCGCTAAATTTGCCCGCATAGAGACCTAGTATGGGCGCCGTGAGCTGCGATTCCAGCAGCAGATCCGTGGCCTCAAACGCATTACCATGCGGATAATAAATGCTCAGCTGTCCGGACTGCGAGCCCACAATGATGTAATCCTTCTCCTGCGCCTCCAGCCCGAAACGCGCACACAACAAACTGGCCACATCGTAGTCGCCAACGGTGTCGCCGCACTGCGCTGACCACCAGCTGCACACATTAAACAAGGACATGCTGCGGGCTGACTGGCAACTGATGTGGATGTGGCCATTCGCAATGGTGTTTGTTGTGCCACACACTGTTGCCATGGCGATGCGACAGGTCACAATGAACTAAACTACATTACGTTAGCGTTGAAGCAGTGGGTGAGTCTAACATCTTGGCAATAATATATTGCGTTTCTATAAGGTTACACTATATGCTCTTACAAGCCAGAAGTTTCTCGCATTCCTTCGAAACTGATTCCATATAGAAGCTACTCCATAGTTTAAGAATGAAGTCTGGATCAAATATTCTAGGTCCTACGATTATCTCGCAAATGTTGAAATCAGCGTCTGCAGAGAACAGAATACATGTCGCTGCTTTCCTTGCTGTCAATTCCCCTCACAAGCTGTGCATATATCCTTGCTAGTTTACTAAAACAGATGTCGGAGTCTATAAGAATACACATATTATTTATAACTTCTTTAAATTGATGCAACAGCTGGTCAGGTTTCCAGTCTGGGATGCAAAATCGTTTGGCTAATTCCATTCACGTTCGTATGAACCGAGGTATGGATCCTAAAGGTAGAAACATCTACTCGTAAGTAGGTAGTTAAATTAAAAGCTTAACAATAGAAGTAATTTTTACAATTATAATACTTTTTTTTCTCTTTTTTATAGTATACTATATCATAGATTATATAGATATTATGAAGTTATATTAAAAGTTTAAATTAAAGTTCTATATGTATATTATAATTATATTTTAAGTCTATAAGCTAGGATAAGCTTAAGGAATACGATTTACAGATTTGCGTGTTAAATTGTTGGGCTAAATAATTAACTAATAATTAAAACTTATTTATATAATTACAATTAACTGCAGCCTTCAGCTGTGTGTGTGAGTGTGTGTATGTGTGTGCGGTGTGCATGTGTGTGCCACGCCCTTCACACAACATCATCACTTAAATCCCGCTCAGGATCCAGCAGCAGGCAAGGCGGCGCGTCGGCTCATGGCTGTAAAACCAATCGAAACAAAAGGGTTTTAAGTACAATTTAAGCAATGATTGATTGGCTGACTGACTGACTGACTGATTGATTGGTTCGTTGAATTGACTGATTGACTGACGGACATATTGAACAATGAGCAATGAGCGGTAGAGGCTGTCAATAATTTTGCTGTGTCACAGTTGATATCGAAATTGTTGGCGTCTTTAAACATGATCCGTAATAATTGTGGCGACAATGCATTTGGTTGTGGTTGTGGTCATTGTGGTGCTGGTAATTGTAAGTGTGCTTGCTGTGGTGCTTGTGCTTGTTGTTGTCGAAGTGGTTGTGTGGGTATTGGTAATGATGCTGCGCCGATTGCGTGGCCGTACGCCGGCTCTCGTGCGATGATTCGCTAAATGTTATTCTTTCTCGCTTCTGATCATGATCTTTTTCTTGACCAACGTGCGTACCTGTTGCGTCGTTGGTTGTTGCTGTTGTACGCCCCCAACCTGCTGCTGCTGCTGCTGTTGTTGCTGCTGTTGTTGTTGTTGTTGCTGTTGTTGTTGCTGCTGCTGTTGCAGGCTGGCAACTGTTGGCAGCGGCGCCGTGGTCTGCGTTATGGTCATTACCTCAGCCGGACCAGCTGTGGGTCCAGTAATGCTTGTGTGTTGTTGCTGCTGTTGCTGCTGCTGCTGCTGTTGTTGTTGTTGTTGTTGTTGCTGCTGCACCACGGCTAGCAAGTTGCCACCGGCTGTGGTCTGCAGACGCACAGGGCTAGCATTCTGCCTTTGATTATGCTGCAGTGCTGCAATTAGCGTCTGCTGCGTCGTCTGACCTCCGCCCGAGGTGGCCACCTTCAAGGCGCTAGCCAGATTTTGTCCAGCGCGCAGATTTCCAGCAGCCAAGGCCTGCGCCGATGCAGCCGAAACCACCTGCAAGGAGTCAAATAAATAATCGTTAAGTTTAAAACAATTATCATTTATTAATCATACCTGTATGGTCTGACGCTGTGTGGCCTGTGAGGCCACCGAAACGGGTATGACGCGTCCCACACTCGTCTTGCCCAGGACGATGCCCGCCTGCTGCCCGCTGCGCACCACCTGCTGCAGTTGTTGCACTGTTACCGCTTTGGTGTTTTGTATGTGCAACAATTGCGCCTGCAAACTGCCGACACCAGGTGTTGTCTTCTGTTGTTGCTGCTGCTGCTGCTGTTGCTGGCCGGCGGGCAAGACGGTGACGCCGCCCGGCGTTTGCTGCTGCTGTTGTGGTCCCGTCGTTGTGGCCACAATGTTGGTGGCCGTAGGCTGACCCGAAGCACTGACCAGCTGCGTCATGCGATTGATCTTGCGCGTCATGCCCAGCTGCTGTTGCACATGCAGATGCCGCATTTGATTTGGCATCGTCACCTTTATCTGGCTGCCCGGTTTTAGCTGCGGCAGCGTCATGTTCACGCTGCCCGCTTGCACTGTAGGCGGACCCGTGGCCGAGACTGTTACGCCGCCGGAGCTGACACTGCTGCCACTCGCCGCTGCTGCTGTCGAGGCCTTAACCAACGAAGCGATCTGCTGCTGCGTCACCTGCTGCGTTTGCTGCTGCTGCTGCTGTTGCACGACACCAGCAACTGGCAACTGTTGCTGCTGTTGTTGTTGCTGCTGCTGTGCGGCGTTGCTGCTGCTGCTGGTGGTTGTAAAGAGCGGCCCGGTGGCCTGTTGCGCCTTCTGGGCAGCCAGTATATTGTGCCGCTTGACGAGCAGCATATCGCTGGTGCCAGGTGCTCCACTGCCGCCGCTGCCATCAGTGGCCAGCACCTGACGCTGCAGGCCCTGTTTGCCGGCTGCCATTTGCTTGATGAACTGCGTGCGCGCCTGTCCGTGCATCTGCACCGAACTAACCACATTGCCCGCCTGGACGGTGGTCGCGCCTGGCATGCAGGTAACGGCCACCTTCTGGCTTGTGACATGCGTCGACGTTTGCATAAGATTGCTGGCTTGAATGATGGTGCCCGTGGCCAAGGCACCGCCTGCTGTTTGCACTACAGTCTGGTTCAGGCTGGCGGTGACGCTGCCGCCTCCCGGTGCCCCTTGTGGTGCTTGCAACACTTTCAGATTGCGCTGCCGATAAAGTTGAATGTGCGCCGCCTGCTGTTGGGTACCGGACAGCACCGCTTTGCCGCTCTGCTGCAGTGAGCTTACGGGTATACCCTTTGTGGTGACCAATTGGGTTGTCTGTGTAGCGGGTGAGGCAGAAACCGCCGCCAGGCGTAGCTGCGTTTGGAATTGACCCTGCGTCACACTTTGCCCCAGACCCGGCATAGATACAATGGACGGACCGCCAGCCGTGGTGCGCTGTTGCAGCACCACATCCTGCAGCGTATTCCCACCAGCTGCACCTGTAGACACAATGCGCTGACCACGCAGCATGGTCACCGTGCCTGTTGCCGTCTGTTGTTGTTGTTGCTGCTGCTGTTGACCAGTGGCTGTGGTGGTCAATGGGCCAACGGATACAACCTGAGGGAGCGTCTGGGTCTGCACAATGCTGCCCAGCTGCGGCGCCGTATTCACTGGCAGCGTCGTCTGTGAGGAGATGGACACTATCTGAGCTGTCGAGCCGGCGTTAACATTGCTGTGCGTTGCAATGGGCAGCGATTGCACTGGCGTCGTGAGCACCACACTGACGCTGGACTGGCTGCCCGGCGGTGCTGCTTGCAGCTGCACGCTGCCGCCTGCATTGGTCGAGCTTTGGTGTGCCAGCTGCTGCAGTTGACCAGCAGTCAGATTGGCTGTGGTGCCAACAATGGTCTTGACCAGCTGCTGTGTGGTGGTTTGCGTGCGCAGCTGCTGCTGTTGCTGTGGCTGATGCAGCAATATGGCCGTCTGTTGTGTAGTCGCCACATTGGCGCTGGTCAAATGCTGTATCTGCAGCTGCTGCAGTTGGCCGCTGTTGCCAGTGGGCACAGCAACAGTTGTTCCCGTTGTGTTGGGCACCAATTCCATCGATTGTTGCACGGTGGCAACTGTTGGCAGCTGTTGCTGTATTTGTTGTTGTTGCTGTTGCTGCTGCTGTTGTTGTTGTTGTTGCACTTGCTGCATTTGTTGTTGTTGCTGCTGCTGCTGCTGCACGGTTTGCTGTTGCTGCTGAACTGGCTGCTGCTGCTGTTGTGGTTGCTGCTGCTGTTGTTGTTGCATTGGCATTTGTCCGCGCTGCTTGTCGCGCATTTTGTTGGCCTTCATCACGGCTATATTATTGGGCGACACGGGCTGATCGTAGTTGGATATGCCAAACTTCTGCAGCACCTCCATATGCTTGGGATTCATCAGGCTGGGCGCATTGAACTGACGCTTCGGCGGTGGCGCTTTCTTCAAATATGCCGTCTTTATGGTATCGAAGCGTTGCCGCATTACCTTATAGAAGGAAGCATTGTTGTCGCTGGCATAGAGCTGCGTGGTGCGCAGATAACGCAACGGACTCTTCATGTACTCCATGCGCAGGGTGGGCTTCAGTTTCTTTTGCTTTTTGGGACTCTCGACCACTTTGCCCTCCTCGCGTGGCTGTATGTGCGTCTCGTAGCGCCAGCGGCACTGCCTGGCCGAACGATACGTTTTCGAGCAGAAGTTCACCAGCTCCGAGACCAAATCCCAATTGGGCGTCTGTCCTGGCGAGAGCAGCATCAGGCTGCACGGCAGCCCCTGCAAATTGATCAGCACGTGCAAAATGGCCATGTCCTCAAACACGCACCACTCGCTCATGGCCTCTGGCTCAGCCAGCGGCTTGGCCGGCAACTGTGGCTTCAGGCCCGGTATCATTGAGTTGGGCTTAAAGCTGCCGCGGAATCGTTGATTCTTCAGCTCCCGCCGCAGACGCGCCAGCTGCGCTGTGGGCCGATCAAATAGCGAACGTGGCGGCACATAGTTATCCTCGCGTCGCATCTTATTGGGCCGTCGACTGCCATCGAAGCCGGCATCGGTGCGCGATCGTTTGAGCTCGCGTCGCACATACACTGGCGGCAGCTCCGTCTCGGGTATGGGCTCCAGATCGTACATAAACGACAGCGAGTGGTCAATGTAGATGTCATTGTTATCCTGCGGTGGCGTTGGCGGGCACCACATCTGAGGGAAACAAATACCAATAGAAACACTTGCGAGGGTGAGAACTAATTCACTTACCGGCATTAACTCCATGCTGTTGCGCGATATCCAGACCTGCGGACGTGCGTGTGTGCGAGGAGCCGAGCAAAGTTAAAGAAAAGAATAAACGTTCCATTATATTATTTTCGTATCGTATGAAGCAACTCTGTTTTGGTGGTGGTGTTTATTGGCTTAGTAACTAGCTAACTAACTTTATATCGTTTCGATCGTGTCTATCTAAATATTATGTATGATTTGGCGTTGTAGCTTTTTTTCTGTTTTTTTATTTCCGGAATCATTTCGTACGTTGCTGAAGAACAATTGGCAAAGTCTGTGGAACTGCCTATTCTACGGAAATCGATGAAGTGGCTGGGAGGATGGGAGCTGGGGGTGGGGTCACAGGATGGAGGCGGTGAGTCGGGGGGTTGGACCAACAAACAAACCAACGAGCATACAACGAATTGTATTATGTAAACTATATAAACATTATTTAAATGAAATTCGCATAGTTTTTCATTACACCAAAACAGAATTCTACATTCGTTAACACAGAAAATAATATGATTGATTCTTATTCTTTCTTATGATTTCCGCTTATTCTTTTCCAACTTTGTGCAATTGTCTTCGAAATGTTTATACTTTTTTTTTTTGGTTAAACACACGCACGAAATTTGTCCGTATAAATAAAAAAAAACCACAACGTCTTAAAGTTTCTTTATCTTTTTAGAAAGCATATCGAATCGATTCTTGTGTTTTATTTGTTAGTCAATCTATATGCTTATAGTCTTTAGATTGTTTTTGTTAAAACTAAACTAGTTTAAGGTTTTGTTTTTTTTAGAATACAAAATAAATTATTGAATGCAAAATTATTAACATTTACCATAGAGTTAAAAAGTTACCTAAGGAGTGAGACTTATAAACTAAGGCGCATTAGCTGAGGAGAGTTTCTTTGAAGACTTAGATCAAGAACAGAAATTTAACAGCGAAATTAATAATAATACAAGTGGAGTTGATTTGTTTTAGTTACTTCTTTTTAAAAGTTAACCGCACACTGCTTAATAAATATAAAGTCTATAAACTATATTTTTTCTGATATACTTTTGTTAATGGGTGTATTTATATACAATCTGGGTTCGTGTTTCTTAAATGGTTTTTGGGGTGGGGCAGCAGAAATCAATTTATCCAACTCGCTGTGTTCATCGAAGTGTAACTTAAATTAAATAATCTGCTTTTTTCTGTTATCAAAATATCAGTATTGTGTTGGCATTGAGCTTTGCAAGCTTCAATCTGAGCTGAATTAAACACATAGTTTTATAATTGTCTCAATTTGCTGCCCCCCACTTACAAATCTACCTAAGCTAAACAGAATTTGTTATCCTAAACTTTCGTTTTACTCACTTTTCCTGTTTCTCACTGCCTTTTTTATTTTATTGATTTTGCCGCCTAACTAGCTTAGAAGGAAACTTGTTACAGTCTATTAAATACTCGTACATAGTTCTGAAGCAGCTTCACACACACAGATGCACATCTATTCAAGGTGCTTCTATGTGTGCTCAACAGTTGCGTGGCCATTTTCAAACGCTCACTAAAAACCACACAGCGCACACAGCTCCACGGCTTTAGCAAGGATTTGCAGCAGGATTCATTTTTAGTTATAGTTAATACTGTCCTGTCTCCTGTCTCCATTCTATTATCACCTATTGCTGCTGGCACCATTTGAGCTAGCGCCTGACGTGGCATGCACCACTGATGATGATGCTGCAGCTGCTCCAGTTGAGGCGCCGGCAGTGTTGCTGCTGCTGTTATTGGACGTGCCAGCAGCTGCATTGCTGGAGCGTAGATGCACACGCGGCGATTTGGTTATCCAACGACTCAGCGTCGTTTTCTGCTCATCATCGGCTTTCTTTAGGAGTCGCCTTTTGGCGGTCGCCTGTGCTCGTCGCGCCATTATTTTTGTCTCTGCCTGTTGTGGCGGCATCGCTCGCTTCACATTTTTGCCCGCACCTCCGCTGCTTTTCTGGGTGCTCAGCACAGGACTGACATCCAATGTCCAGAGATTTATCTTTACGGAGCCGCGTGAGCGTGTGCGTGGCGTGTGTCCAATGGCATCGTCGCTGCCGCCACGGCTGCTGTTGCTGCGCTGCCTCTGTATTGCTGGCGTTGAATCCTTGTTTGCTTCTGCTTTGGCTTCCGCCTTTGACAAGGATAGGGGATCATTGGGCTCATCTGTGTCGGACTCTTCCGAGACATTATAGTATGTGGAACTCGTCATTGTGGTATCTTGCACCTGATTATGCGCATTCCATCCGTCCAGACTGTTGCCGCCTTCGCCGGCTGTGGCATAGCTTGAACTGGACTGTGTTTCCACATTGACTTCTGGATTTGAGTCAGTATTGGCAGTGTCATCACCGTCTTCTTCGTCCTCATTTAGCCTTTCCACATGCATTTCCTCATCCTCCTCGGTTTGTGTTGTATCTCCCTGACCGGAGGCAGATACAGAGGCCGAGCCTGAGACAGCAGTTTCCTCGTCCTCTTCTTCGTCTTCATCTTCATCTTCGTCTTCATCTTCGTCTTCGTCCTCGTCCTCATTTTCACCCTCCTCCTCCTCCTCATTATCTTCATCTTCATCAACGCAAACGGATGCACTCTCTGCACCATCGTCATCGCCATCGCCATCGCCATCGCCATCATCATCATCATTCTCACTATCCTTTTCTTCATTGTCATCCTCATCCCCACTAATGTTGTTCTTCATTTGTTTCAGGGCTAGCGGGGATGATATTGTCGCACGCCGCTCAAGCAACTTCCGCCGCGTGGCCGCCGCCGTCGTGGAGACGCTTTCCCTGCGTCTCGGCTTAGCCGCTTGTGTATTGTTCTTAGCTGGTGGAGCTGCTGCTGGAGCTTTTGCAGGCGTCTTCATCAGTTTAGTCATGGCTATATTGGCCGATTGGCGCTTGGGTCGCTCCTCTGTTACAGGGGGTGTCGCAGCAGTGCCGCCTGCTGCTGCTGCTGCCATTGCTGTGCGCGTTGTCTTTCTAGTGGGCGGCGTTGCTGTGGCAGCCGCCGTAGGCGTCGTGGCAGTAGTACTGACTACGCCCAACGAATGCAGACGCGTCTGCCGCCTGGCGGGCGCAACCACTGATCGTTTACTGTTACTATTGCTGCTGCTGTTGCAACTGCTCTTGGCCGGAGCACTCACATTGAGGCTGTTGCGACGCGTGCGCACCGGACTAGGTTGCTGCGGACTTGTTCTTGACTTGTTGCTTACGCTTCTACTTAACCCCGGACCCCTGGCTACACCGTGTTGCTTAAACCGTTTATCCCGCTTATTATGCTTAGTTAGCCTAATGCCTACCCCTACAATCGGTGTTCGTTTGCTTAGATTGGAATCTTGTTTGGTATTAACCTGATTACTGGCATCCTTGCGACTGTAGGTCAGTAGCTCATCGGCCTCCGTTTCCTGCTTGAGCAGCTGCTCCTCTTTCTGCATGGCCGCCAGCCGGTTTGCCTCCCATTCACGTTTCTGCATCTCAAGCTCCGCCTCGGCAGCGCGCAGCTGCTCGGCTGTCCAGGCGGCGCCGGTGGCCTCCACAAAGCGCATCGCATAGCGTTCAATGGGCGACAGCTGGAAGTGCGAGCGAAAACAATATATATTAAGAACATATCCCGTATCAGGAGCGACTTGAAGCTTATGTCAGACGTTGAGTGATATAATCGAGCGTGGATTATGATCGCTTCGACTATGTCTGAACGTCTACTTCGTGTTGAAGTTTCTCTAGGCAGCGCGCGCTAGCTTAAAGGGCCACTGGGAAGATCCTCTAATAGAAGCAAGCACTGCCCATGCCCGCGCATGAAAATTAGTTCGCAACTCACCTGCTTGACAAGATTTTGCATTTCCAGATCGGCTTTGCTCAGTTCAACGGGCACACCGCCGCCGTCCGCATTGGCCTCATCCGCAATGGGTATGTTCTCATCGAACTCGGCCAGGTCGGCGGCTGCCTCAGCTTTGGCCGTTTTTGTCGCTTGGACGTCTTGCTCATCCTCGGCAGCGGCCAGAGCATGCTCAAAGGCGCGTAGCGATTGTTTTTCCGTTTCGATGGCCGGTTCAACTTCAGCAGCAATAATCTTGTCCTTCTCATCGGGTTTACCATCGTTCACCTGGCTTGAGTCGTCCTGCTCTTGTGTCTGGTCCATGGTGAACAGATCTTTTATGGTGGAGCTCTTGAAGAAGGTTGTCGTAAAGTTGCCACCCTCGATGGCCATGTCGCTGAGCATGCGCTTCTGGTTGGCCTTCTTCAGGATGTTCACCTCGATGGTTTTCTCCGAGACCAAACGATATATATGCACATCTCGCGTTTGACCAATGCGATGGCAACGATCCTGCGCCTGTGCATCCATCGTGGGATTCCAGTCCGAGTCGTAGAAGATCACCGTATCAGCTCCGGTCAAATTGATACCCACGCCACCAGAGCGTGTCGACAAAATGAAGCAAAAGATGCGCTTGTCACCATTGAAACGCTCCATCAATATTTGCCGTTGCTCCACCCGTGTCGAGCCGTCTAACCGCAGGTAAATATGCCCATGATAATTGAGGAACGCCTCCAGCACATCGAGCATCTTGGTCATTTGCGTAAAGATCAGCACACGATGTCCATCAACCTTTAGCTGCCGCAGCAAACGATCCAATGTTTGCAACTTGCCGCAATCGTACTGAATGAGACGTGGATCGGGGAACTGCGTTGTCATCGCTGAGATGATGGGATGCAGTAACGTCAGCTTGGGCGATAGCGTTTGCGCCACCGTCGTCTCAATCTGTCGCTCGTTTTGCCAATGTGTCGATGACAAATTCTGCACATAACGTCGAATCCGTGGCGCACACACTGACGGCACATAGATCACAAAATTGGCAAAGATGGGCGCTAGCTCAGCGCAACGCTGCTCAAAGCTTTTCAGGAGCAGATTCAGCGACCAGTTATCGTTGTGCTGCCGCATGGCAACAGTGCAATTCGCATAACCTCGCGTTTGCCAGGTGGAATGCTTCAATGTGCGCGTTGCCTGCATGCAACCTTCAATAGCCTGGCGGCAATCGGCGCCATAAATGGGCGTGGCATCGGTGCGTCGACGATTGATGAAAGCCATGCGCTTAAGCGATGCCAAGCGCTGCTCCTTGCGCAACTGTATAAGCTGCTGCATGCGGTAGGGATCCTCCACGTCCTCCGGCGTTGAAGTTGAGTCCTCCTCCTGTGACTTGCCATTCGTTTGCCTTTGTACCGTCAGCTTGACATGCGTGGCAAGATCTTTGACAATGGGCTCCTTGCTCAACTGCTGCATTTGTGCTGCTGAGTTGCTGCTCGTAGTTGTTGCGCCTCCTGCTGCTGCAGTTGTTGCTGTGCTTGAAGTTGTTTTGCTGGTCAGCGTCAGCCGCGCTCCAGCCCCTCCGGTATTTGTTGCAGGCGCCAGGTAGAAGAAGGGTTTACCATCCTGCATCGTCTTGGCCACCTTGGCAGGCGTTGGTGCACTTATGGGGGAACGCGAACTTAGCAACTTGGAGCTGCTGCCCAGCACATTTAGAGCTGAACTACTGCTGCTGCTGCTGCTGCTGCTGCCACTACTGTTGCTGACCGACGTTGACATTAGGTTATTGATAATCACAGGCTTAAGGGCCATATTGATGGGATTAATGGTGCCGCTGACACGTTTCAGCACATGCCCACTGGGCAATAGGCTGCGCATCGGTACAATCTTCGAGCCCTCCAGTCGCATGGCCGGACTAGCACCAACGCGCACCGCTTGCAGCTTGATGCGCTGCGCCAGCTCAGCGCTACGAACACGTATGTGAAAGCGGTACTTGCCATTGGGGCAACGTGGCGGGGGTTGCGGTGCACTGTCAATTTCCTCAATCAATTTACGTGGCGGCGACAGCAAGCGCGATTTGTGGGAGACGTAGGCGGTTAGCGTTTGCTCCAGATTCAGCAGCAACATGTTGACTGTCTCCAAATTGATTTGCTTTAATTGAAAATAAATAGAGTACAATTAGTTTACGTCCTACGTTATATGCATTTAAGTTAACTGAACTGATTTAAAATCAGGCAAATGCCTCGCAACAGCGAACATCCTATGAGATCGCAACTCTCTCCAAAATAGATTGAGTCGCAATGTTCAGTGACAATTTATCATCATTTTAACAATCGATTGCATCTGATTCTATCGCTGTGGCATACACAAACTCACCGTGAACGGATCATACTCCAAGATGTCGCTGACTAGACGCGGTGTATGGAATGCAATGCCCTCCATTTGAAACGGTGATATCGTTGGACGCACCTCGAACATATTCGGATGATTGCATACCTTGCGCAGCTGCATCAGCACATTGATCACACTAAGCAAATTGCCAGTTTGTAATGTTTCGCGGGTTCTGCACACATAAATTGTTTTAGTAAAGAATCAGCTTTTGCTAAATTAGTTTAAAGAGAGAAACTCACTTGGATCGGCTCATGAAATCTTCGTACAGATAACGCTGACGATTGGACAAACGGCACATGACAACATGTTCGTATTTCTTTGGCATTTGCTTTTCCACCTCCTTTTTAAGGCGACGCAGCAGAAATGGACGAATGACCTGAATAAGAAAATAAAAAACAAACAATCAATACATGCTTCATAATTTATAATGTGAACATTTTATTATAGAACTCGTGTAAAGCGCGTATTCAATGTAATCAGTTTTAAGGACACGAACACATGGATAAGTCGCAGCTTGAATTTAATCTAGCAAGGTATTTAATTGTCTCACATGAGGTTATATAATTCAATGTGATACAGAGTGCTCTTGCAAGAAAGAATTATGGATATCTAATCTGAATTAGATTTTCAGGCGCGTTTAAAAAGCAATCAAGATAACGTTTTTATGTGATTTATTATACATCAACCATACCTAAAACCATTGATCATCCGAAACATTATTTAAAAGGAGTGTAAGGCGCGTTTTCAATGCAATTAGTTTTAAGGACACAATCACATGGATAAATCGCAGCTTTGGTTTGATCTAGCAAGTTAACAAATTGTCATCACATGTGGCAAATCAATGTGACACAGAGTGCACTTGCAGGAAAGGAATTTCTGATAATCTATCTTATAAAAAGCTTGTGCGAGGTGTTAATGTAGTTGATGCATTAACTGGCATCAAGACACTTGCAACCGCAGCAATTGCTCTAGCACACAGCTACGATTTTCAGGCGCGTTTAAAAAGCAATCAAGAAAACGCTTTTAGGTGCTTTTATCATATATCTACCTTCTTAAATTTAATCTGGAAATGTTCTTAGCGTTTTAGACTCTTATTTGAAGTTCAAAAAGTCACTTGCAACTTAGCTTTGATCTAGCACACAGCTACGATTTTCAAGCGCATTGAGTTGGCGTACAAGAAAACGCTTTTAGGTGCTACTCCCTTAAAAAACTTAACTATACGTATAAAAAACTATATTTACCTTGTGTAGTCGGGCAATTAACGTTTCGTTGTACTCCATGTTGCCCTCGATCATGCCAGTCATGGGATTGGAGAACCATTCCTTGAATTCGCGATGCGAGGAGAACACATACGGCATGAGAAAGTGCATCAGGGACCAGAGCTCCATTAGATCGTTCTGCAGCGGCGTGCCTGTCAAAAGCAATCGTCTGTTGTTTATGGAAGATAGAAAATATTATATATTAGCCATATATTATTTATTTAAAAAAAAGAAACAAAACGCTTTTAAATACTTCATTAAAATTTAAAAAAAAAAAAAAACTGCAACTTTAAGAATATAATTAACACAAGTTAATCTTGTTATTCAAACAAAACATTCAATTTCAATGGAAACTCATAAATAATATCTAGTGCAATAAATAAAAAAGTAACAAACAAATAATTAAAACTTGTCTCAAAACAAGGCCACAAGCATTCCAATGGGTTAGTATGCTCTTTAAATACATGCGGCATTATAGCGTGTTTTAATTTTAGCACCCAAGCGTAGTCGCCAAGCTAGTTTAGCAATCGCTTGGTTACTGATTTTGGTGCTGGCTGGCACAAGGGCAATTGCAACAACGTGTAATGGCGGCATCCAATTAACAAATAAATTACTGACCTTTCGGTGGAAAAGTTGAGCAGCAGTTGCCAACGCTGTGACTTGAAGTTTTTAATGTTTTGCGCCTCGTCTAGAATGAGATATTTCCACTTTTTGCGCCGAAAACTTTGTTGATCCTGAACGACCAGCTTGTAGGAAGTAATGCAGACGTGAAACGCATTTGGTTTCGTCCAGCCGACACGCTTCAGTTTGCGCTCCTTTTGGGTGCCGTAGTAGGTGAGTATTTTAAAGCCGGGACACCATTTCTTAAACTCCATTTCCCAATTCAGCATCACAGATGATGGTACCACAATCAAATGGGGACCCCAATTGCCCTTGGCGCAGGCCAAATGCGCCAGTAGTGCAATCGTTTGTATTGTCTTGCCCAAGCCCATCTCGTCGGCGAGGATGCCGTTGAGTTTGCGCTCGTTCATCGTGACCAGCCAGTCGAGTCCAATGTGCTGGTACTCGCGCAGCGTATGCTTCAGCAGGAATGGCACAGGCGTCACCACATTTGTGGAGGATAGCGTGTTGCCCTTGGGCTGCAGACTTTCAGCGAGTGCGGCAGCATCGTTCAACATGTCATCCTTGTTGTCTTTGCTGCCAACAGCAGCCGCAGCACTCGCGCCGCCTACGCCATAGCCATCGGCATCAGCTAGTAGACTTTTGAGACCATCCTCTTGCTCCGCCTCCTCCTGGTCTGTATCGGACTTGATGGTAGAGAGATCTTCATCTTCTTCATCACTAGCTTCCACTTCACTGCCATCTGTTGAATCTTCAATCGCAGTTGAATCATCATCCGAGTCCTGCTCCGAGGTCTCTACGGCTATTTTGCGTCTCTTGGCGCTGGGCGGCTCATCAATTTTGCCAGATTGGTATTTCTCTAGCAGCTGCTCAACGGTCAAATCATTGTCTGCTTCCAGTTCATCGATCTCCTTCTGGTGATCAATTTCCTGCTCTGCCTCCTCCTGCTTGCTGATGGTGTTCTCATCATCATCGCTGGCTTCCTTTGCCTGAAATTCGCTATCATCGCTGTCGTCTCCACCATCGGCAGCATCTGCCCCACTAGTGGAAGCAGCGCCTTTCGTTGAGCTCTGCTCCTCTAGCAGAAGCTTATCACGATTTTCCAAATAGCCGGGCGGCAAATCGTTGAGAAAATCATCAAAGTCCATTTGAGATTCTTTGGCCAGAGCTTTGACCTCCTCATTGACATCGGCTGCTTCTTCCTCGGCCTTGGCAATTGTCTCCTCATCATCCTCAGAGCCAGACTCTGGCCTAAACTCGTCTGTGGAAGAAATTATGCAAGCACAGTTTAAACCAGGTTTTTCATATTTTAACCTTACGTAATAGATTTTGTTTCTAAATGCATCAGACAAATGCCTCGCAAATGCGACCATCCCTTGTTAACATCGAAGTGTTCAAAAATAGACCACAACAACGTTTCAGTTCAAGTGTCTCATCATGTGCATAAAATGTAATAAATGTTTCTGATTTTCTTCAATATCTTTGATCCCTTTTTCAAAAAACCCTGTTGGACTTTCAATTATAAATTCTTATAATATACTATCTGAAACACATTCTGTTCTGAGTAGAATCATTTCGTTACCCAATGAAACCTTACATATTATAAATTACGAAAATTGATCTTAACTCACCATCAGACTCACGCTTGGGTGAGGTTAAGCGACTGGATGTCAGACTGGGCGTTTCCGCAACACTTTTATTCATGCCTTCGGCCAGCTGCTGTGAAAACTTCTCTGTTTGATCGACTATGAAACTGAGATGCTGATCGAGCGCCTGTTTGCGTTTCTCCTCGATTTTTGTTTGGTGTTTATATTCGACCAGTTTCTCCACGTTTGACCAGAAGCTCTTCACCTCGCGAGCTATGAAGGAGGCGACGCGTTTCAGATGCAGCTCTTGCGCCTTTTCGGCGCGCTGTGCCGCATTTGCTTTGTCTTGGAAATACTTTTGCACCATTTTAGCGCATTTCTTGGCCGCATTCTTTTTCCATTTGCGCTCCTGCGCAAAATCAGCTGCTAGCCAAACCATCTCCTCGAGCAGATAGTCCCAGTGCGCCTTGGGGCGGCTGGGCTCCTGCAGCTTAGGCAAACGCCGTTCAGTCCATAATCCCTCTCGTTGTAGTTCGGATATACGCTGCATTACGTACACCTCCTGCTTGGCCTTAAACGAAAACTCCTGCGCACTGTTGGGTGTGCCTGTACTAGCCGCCAGTGGACTCAACAGACTTCCACTGCTGCCACCAGGCGTGCAGGGCGTCAGACCACCACCGCTCGCAGCCGCACCGTTGGCCCCACCCGTGTACAGCGGAGTTGGCGTCGCTCCGCCAATTGCCCCACCCGCTGCTCCAGTCGCTGCTCCTGTTGCATTCTGCTGCGAGTTTGGACGACGCAGCGCCGTTGAACCCGCGGAGCTACTGCACGGCACCAGAGGCGTGCCACCTTGAGGTAAAGAAAAACGATACAAGAAGTTAGTCAGTAACGGTTCCAAGATATTCCAAGAAAGCTCTTAGCCAACTTGCATGCTGGAAAATTGCATTGCCAAACACACGCTACCATATTGAAGCGATAATAGTTAAGTAACAAATAAAATAAAACGTTCCAATCAATCAATCAATTAATTGAACCATATTTCTTGCGAATCAGTAAGTGTAACATAGTATATGTATTCAAATGTTTTCTAAACGAGGAAAGGGAAAATTAAAATAGGCAAACAACTAAGTCAACTGCATGCAAAACTCCTAAACTCTAAATGTAAGTGGAAGAATGCAAATCCCTATGACTCTTAAGTGTAAATGAGTGTAAGGCGCGTTTTCAATGTGAACAGTTTTAAGTACCCGATCACATGGATAAATCGTAGCTTTAATTTAATCTAGCAAGGTATTAAGTTGTCTCACATGAGGTTATAAAAGTTCAATGTGATACAGAGTGCTCTTGCAAGGAAAAATTACTTTGGATATAAAAGTGGAACCAAATCGCTTTAAGGTGTTATATTGTATTTAAACCTAATCTGGAAATAAGGAATAATAATCCTTAGCTATTTTTTAAATGAGTGTAAGGCGCGTTTTCAATGCAATTAGTTTTAAGGACACAATCACATGGATAAATCGCAGCTTTGGTTTGATCTAGCAAGTTAACAAATTGTCATCACATGTGGCAAATCAATGTGACACAGAGTGCACTTGCAGGAAAGGAATTTCTGATAATCTATCTTATAAAAAGCTTGTGCGAGGTGTTAATGTAGTTGATGCATTACTGGCATCAAGACACTTGCAACCGCAGCAATTGCTCTAGCACACAGCTACGATTTTCAGGCGCGTTTAAAAAGCAATCAAGAAAACGCTTTTAGGTGCTTATATCATATAATCTACCTACTTAAATTTAATCTGGAATTGTTCTCAGCGTTATAGACTCGTATTTGAAGTTCAAAGAGTCACATGCAGCTTAGCTTTGATCTAGCACACAGCTACGATTTTCAAGCGCATTGAGTTGGCGTACAAGAAAACGCTTTTAGGTGCAGCCAAAAATAACTTAAAACGAGCCAAAAATATAACTAATTAAGAATTGATTAAAAGCAAGGATTACTTCGGCGTGCCGAATCGAACAATGTCATGTTAAATGTAAGAGATATATTTCCTAAATAGTTCAAATTTTCTGATGCTGAGCAACTTCATAAAGTCAAAAATCAAGTCAAATCTAAGCTATGCATAATTTTGCAAACCGAAAAAAAACACTGTATTTTTACAATTCAATTGAATAAGATGGAAAGACAAATAATTCGTAAGCATTTTACCAGAAAATAAATATATATAAACAAGGTTTATAAAAACACCAATTCTAGAGAAATGATAAGATGAATCTTTGGTATAATATAATATATTAGGCACATCGAATGTAATGTATATATAGTATAAGTCAAATGCACTACGCTTTTAATTGGCGGCAACAACAAAATGAAAAATATGAGAATACTTCAATATTTAAAAACAAGTAGAAGGACTTATAAATGAAAATAAGATTTTGATTTGTTTGGTTTTTTAATTTGTTGCGAACGATAAGCACCTGGCACCAAAGGTACAGAAGAATTTCCTACGGCAGGAGGCGCGGGTATTTGACCGAAGACCATACCGTGACGACCTCCTAGAGGTCTACCGGGTATGTGACCTATATAATAACGATACAATTTGATGGTGAGTTGAGAAAGAGAGTTGAGGTGTGCGTTAGGAGGCGGCAGTAACAAATGTGAGAGAATGTTTTGTAAAAAATTAAGAACTTAACCAAAGAAGTGTTAACAAAAACAGTTGAAAATTGTAAATCAAATGATGTACAGCAATACAATAAATTAATTTATATTGTAAGAATGTATATATGTAGTTGTTATTATATAAATATATGCATACATGTAAATAGATTTAGTATTCTCTTGCGTGTGTGGGTCAAATAAATTAAATTCGTGTTTGTTGTTGTTACATACTTATTAGTAGAGCATTTTATAGGTTTCTTGCTAGTGTTTTTATAATTTTGCTTGGGCGAGACAACAACTTTTATAGTATTGTGCAGGGCGTGCGTTGTACTTTTACAGTTGCTGGATAGTTGTTCTGGACGCGTACTATTGCTTGGGGGATTCGGTAGCATTTAGCAGATTATTTTTCTTCTTAGTTGTATGCAAACGTTTTTTTGTTTTTTTTCTCATTGTATGAATTTTGACATGTTTCTATTATTTTTTTTTTTCAAATGTACAATAATTTTGAAAACCAAGGAACACAAAACCAGAAATACAACCAAACACAAAATAATAACAATGGTAGATACGAGATATCAAGAGATTTTGAATCCTGGTTAAGAGTTATAATCCTGAACAAGTTTAGCTTACCTTGCTGCGTCAACTGTACTACGGCGGCGGGTAGCTTCGTGGAGACGGCAACTGGCGTCGCACCAACAGCTGGTATCTTTATTTCCGCCTCCGGTGGCAATGCATTACCGCTCGCCTCCACTAAGCTGTTAGTTGTAGACAATGCTCCAGTTGTGGTTGTTGTTGTTGATCCACTGCTGCTTGGACTTGACGATGCTGTTGCCGCTGCTGATGTTGTGTTACTACCAGACTTTGCTGGCAATAGAGATTGCGTGTTCTGCTAAAACAGATTAAATCGTTTTAGAACTTTGTACAGAATAATGCCTAAGAAGCTAGCTATCAATCTGGTATACATATCCTAATGTAGTCATTTTAATATTTAATTTTTTAATGCTTCAGGTGCTTACCGTTTGTTGTCTGTTGTTTTCTGCCTCTAACTGTATGCCCGTTGTCCCTGTAGTTGTTGTTGCTGTTGCAGAGCTGATGCTACTGCTGCTGTTGCTGTTGCTAACAACCGAATCCGAATTTGGAGTTTGTTGTTGTGTTGTTCTGTGTCCTTGGGCCACAGCGGCTGCTGCTGCGGCGGCGGATGTGCTTGGTTTTTCTTCGAGTATCAGCTGCTCGATACGATTCGCATTGCTGTAGCTGATGAACTGCGGTGTTGGTGTCTTTTTACGCCACGCGGGGTAGTCCATCATACTGCCACCGTTTTGTAAATAAAAATATTCGGACACATTTTCAAGATGTCTGCAAATTGAAACACAAATGTTAGCAATTTTCAATATATAATCTTATACTAGACATATTTACCTTTCCTTAAGATTACGCAAAATTTGATATTTCTGTTGGAGTACGCGCTTCCTGAGCGCATTTAAGTCCTGCAGTGCCGTTGAAATGGCCCCACCAACTTCGCTGCTGGCCACAACCGACGCTGGCAGCAATGAGCCAACGATGTTGCTGCTTACAGCGCCAACAATGTTGCTATTTTTGCTATCGCTGGCGGCCTCGCCTCTCGTTTCCGTATCTTCTAAACGCTGACGCTTGGCCTGGGGTGGCGCTGTGGAATCTGAGACGGAGGCGGAGGTTTCTGCTGTTGCTGAATTGGAGTTTGTGGGAGCTGCTGCTGGCGTTGCTGCTGCCGTTGCCTCTGTCGACAAGTTCGACAGCGGCACAGGCAGCTGCGCACTGAGCAGCTGCTGCTGTTGTTGTTGTTGTTTGCTGGGTTTCTGTTGCTGTTGCGTTGTTGCTACTGCTGATGATGATTTATTGTTGTTATGAGCTGTTGAGGCTGTTGATTTTGGCGTTGTAACTGATTTTTCCGTTGATTGTAACGTTACACGGTCTGACACAGCAGGAGGGGCCGGGCTGAGCCCTTCATGCCCCCCTCCTGCTGAATTACCTTCATTCATGTTTGAGACATCTGAAAAAAGGCGGGAAAAAAAGAACATTACAGTCGCCACTAATTTATAGCGTGTTGCGATTGACAGCGCACATTTTGCAGCCCTGTGAAGCATATATGTAGGCACATATATATGTCAGCCGTAATTAAACCCATAAATGTACAGCTAGTATCTTTACACTGTTTCTGCTGCGTAATCATTACATTTAGAACTTTTTCAGTGATATTAATGCGTAACGCTTATCACGACCGCCTCTTGCATCCCTGCAAAATGCAATCGATTTGCAACTCTGCATTGCAAATGGCTGCGCTTCCTTTTTTTTGTTATACACACACGCGCGTTTCAAGAAAATATACTTTTTGCAATTGGCCATTATGTATAAAATTATTTGTTCGCAGTAGCACGTTTATTTTAGGTTGGTTTAAAGTTGCTAGTTGCGGCACTTTTCAAACATGCTAATCGAATGACCGATGCTAGAGTGAGACGGCTATATATATACATGTCTGCTGCTTCTACGTCCGCGTCAGTTCTTTGTTGGGCGGAAATTTTTTCAACCATTTTTTTTCGTACCTCAGATGGGGAAAATTTTTAATCACAAAATATCCACATCACAAATATGCATCCGTGCGTGAAAACAGTGTTGGCGCGTTGCAAAAATTGTGCTGTAATCGCGAATGCAATGTTTCTTCAGTATTTCCGCCTATTTCTGCACTTAAAATTATTTTTTTGCAGAAAAGTGTGCGCGAACACACCATTCAGCGTCGAGGTACATAGAAGAACTAGTGATGTGCCGAAAACATCGCATTTTGAGCAATTCCGATAACGATAAAAATACCAGCGCACACAAATTTATACAGGATTGAGCCCCATATGCTGTTTTCGATAAATTGTGCAACTTAACATATTCGATAGGATGATGTCATTCTGTATGTTTTTTGCGCCAAAATTGGAATGCTCAATACAGAGTGTACATAAGCAGATTAATTTCGAACATAACTATCGACCAGTAGAGGAAATTTCGACAATTGTTTTGTCAGGCCCTCGATGTCGATATTCTTGTTAGCGGCTGTTAACTTTAATTAAGTTCGAATAATTTGTGAATTGATTACAAAAAAGAAAAAAATATTGAAATGTGTATGGGATAGTTATTGGCTTTTGCAATCGATGCCATAGAAATGAACCACTTTCAGCATATGCCAAAATTTGATATGTAGGCTATCAGGTAATAATTGCATTTAAAATATATTTTCAATATAATCCACAATCGTTAAAGTTCAGTATAATCTGACCTTGACACATCAGACGTACAATTCAAGTGCGTATTTCAGATCGCTTCGAGATAAGACAAAAAAAAAACAAAACACAAATCGAAACTGAGAGTGAATGTAAGCGGTCTTTTCAGTTTTATTTGTGTGTTTACCATCGGTTCTTCAATCAGGTTTGGCAGGAACGCGTCAGATACCCGCCAGCCGCCGGACGCAATGAACATGATCTGTACAATTTTGGCAATTATTTTATTTTCGGCTTCGTCGGGCCGAGTGCTGGGCGAGTACTGCGACAATGGCACCGGCGAGTGCAGAGAGTTCACCTCAACCGATTGCCCGGTGATCTTCTACAATCAGCATCTGATCGGGCCCAATAATGTCAAATACTGCGATGAGTTCAATGACATTGTCTGCTGTCCTCTTCCACTGAATGTCCAGCAAAGGCAGCAAACGATGCCGGATACACGAAGACTATTCGAAAAGGGTAAGAAAATTGTTAGCAATAAACCGGATTTACGTTCTAACTGAAAGAAATTTGACTAATCCCCAGAGTGCCTCCGTTATAATGACATCAGATCCTCGTGCCGTTTCACGCCCCTCATTGTGGGCGGCACCAAGGCGAAGGGTCGTGAGTTTCCCTTTATGGCGCTGCTGGGCACGAGGCAGCCTGGCGGTTCCAGCATTAGCTGGGACTGTGGCGGCACACTGATCCATCCAAAGTTCGTGCTGACCGCTGCCCATTGCCTAGAAACCACAGAGACGAAGGCGCAACGTCTGGATCCCAATTATAGGTCACCCAAATATGTTGTACGCCTGGGCGAATTGGATTACAATAGCACCACGGACGATGCACAGCCGCAGGACTTTCAGTTGGTTAACTATGTGGTGCATCCGGCGTACGCAGAGGATGACGACGGTGCCCGCATCAATGACATTGCTCTGCTCGAGCTGGACAGGAATGCCACCCTGAATGAGCATGTGGCACCCGCCTGCCTGCCGCCCGCCAGCGGCGATGAGCACTTCGATCTGAATGCAGCTGGCTGGGGCCACACCGAGAACTCTGGCCGAAAGTCAACGCATCTACTGACCGTGGGTCTGCAGCGCTACAGCGATAAGGTGTGCAGCGAGCGACTCGAGAGCCGCATAATATCCCGCACTCAATTCTGTGCCGGCTCCGGATCACCCGACAGCAATGCGGACACTTGCAATGGCGACTCCGGCGGACCCATCTTCGTGCAGCATCCGGCCTACCATTGCCTCAAGCAGGTGATTGGCGTCACATCGTACGGAGTCATCTGTGGCAATTACAAATTCCCCAGTGTCTATACCAAGGTGCATCTCTACACGGACTGGATTGAGAACATCGTCTGGGGCGAATGATAGCCATTTAATTAATCATGTAATTATGGTAATTATATGTGAACTTAATTATGTAATTGTTATTAATGATAAGTTGTTTCTTTCAGCTGCAGCTAATGGACTCCGTGGGAATATTGATCCTTTGAGACATTTATTTGTAGCATAAGACATATTTAGAAGAGCATTTATTGAAATTTATTTCCTTTGATATATTAATCTTTGCGAGCGATAAAATAATCAAATGTAATCATGGGTTAGACATCGCTGATCCTTTAAGGTATATATGTTCCTGTTCAGTATGAAATATAGATTTTATATAGTCATGTTCTTCTTAATCTGGATCTGTCCTTCCGCCTGTTGGGCCTAATGCATACTAATATCTAAGCTTGAGAGATATCATATATCATATACCGTGTCTTATGACTGGCAAAGATCTCTCGAAGATACATAGTTTGTATGGTTAACTTGTCTGTTGGGCAAATTATCCAATATTATTTGAGCAATATCTGAACAACATCCAACAACTATAACAATAGTTTCTATAGACAACAGACAGAATAATCAGCCGGCAATGGCGAGGTTTTGATTTTAGGATTGACTTGTTTGGCATATCCAAGGATTCTGTGTCGAAGATATACTTATTGATAAATAACTAGGAATCGATTAAAAAGCCTATTCTAAGAATTTCAAATGAATTAACTAAAAACATTCAATAGTTAATAAACAATCAAAGTCAAAATCAATCACAATTAAAGTAAAAGTCAGTTGATCGTATTTAACTTTTGTTAGCTTTAATAGTAACAAATTTGTAAAAATCAGTTAACAAATATAACATACATGCATATTAATTTAGGGATACGATTACTTAACATAGTTAGGAGGGATGTGCGTATGCAGGGGTGTGTGTGTGTCTGTGAGTGGGTGAATATATGTGTTATATGTAATAATATATAGATTATAATAGATAGATAGTTAGTCGAGTGTCGTGTTCGTGTTCGTGTCTGCAGTGCGTTGTGCTGGGCTAACTTATGGCTAAAACACAATAATAAAAAAAGCTAAGTGCTAGAGAGGACCCTGTAGAAGACCAGTGACAGCCATAGCCATTGCTCATTGTGGCATGATTCTTGTGCATGGTTGTTGATTAGATTTAAGATCGGATTCGGTGTAGACGCAACTACACCCGCTTGTAGTACTCGTTGTAGTTGCGACGGCTAATCTCGTCGCTGCGTCGCCTGGCGGCAATCTCCTTCTTGCGGATCTCGCGCTGCTGATAGACGAACAGCGGACGGAATACGATCGCGCGACGCTTGCGATCCCGGCGTTGACTCTTCGGCTCCTCAGCGGGCGTCAGCGACAGCTCCTGCGCCTTCAGCTCCGGCTCTGGCTGGGACTGTGACTGTGTCTGTGACTGTAGATCGCGTTGCGGCCGATTGCGAAACAGGTCAGTCTTGGCCGAGTCGTGGGCATAGAGCGTGCTCAGGAAATCAAAGTACGGCTTGTTGCGCAAACTGTCCGGCTGGGCCAGCGGCGAGTTGTAGCTGAACTGATTGGGCGTCTCGATGTCCAGCAGCGTGTGCGGCCCATCCTGCAGCTGCTGTGGATTTTGTGGCATAGCCGTCGCCAGGCAAACCAAGCCCAGGGTCACAGCCAGGGTGTAAAACTGCGGAAATAGCAGAAAGAAAAATATGAAATAAAATTAATCTAAAAAATCAATCAGAAAACAAAGCAAATGTGGAAGGTGTGAATAGCGCTTGGAGGCCGCCCAGAGAGCACCCAGCGTCGCGTTCTGCAAACTTTTAGAACCAGTCCGCGGCAGCAAAAAAAAAAAAAAAAAAACAGACGCAAAGCGAAGCTTATGCTTTGAATTAGCATACAATAATTAATTTAAATGAAATAACAAATATCAATGATATAATCGCAATCAAATTTAATTTATAGTCGCACGTAAAATATTCATGATCACGTCCAGAGCGCAACTTGGATCTATGATTAAGATTAACATTATCGCATGCCTGCTTGTTGCCACTGGGCAAGGCGGGGGATAATTACCTATGATAATACACCTGACAGGTGGCGTACCCAACCCTTATTTGGCCATAGATATAAATATGCTGCGCCCTTGGCTGTGCCCAAGCCGGATGCACGTTGCGAACGAAAGGCCTTTGAGGAGAGACTTTAATTTATGTATCACATTTCGATTTTGTGTTAATAAAATTAGTCTTATTCTTAGAGGACAAATTAAAGACTAAACAAAAACCAAAACCGGATGATCATATCTATCGAAAAATCGAAACCAGCTTTCGGTGTAGGTGAACGCGCCAGCCGACGTTCAATGACAGCTCAGCTTGCGGCTAATCCAGCCACATTTCATTTATATACCATATATATATCCATATATATATATGTCTATATGCTAAAGTCTAATCAAACAAAAAAATAGCCCAAAATTAGCCACTTTGCGTGCGTAAACCGCAATAGACTAGAGTTATATAAAACTGTCGCGTCGCTGATTCACGCCCGAAATCGAAATGTATCTGCATAAATAGCTTCATTGATAACCGCAAAATTCGAGCTGCGAACGTGGACAAATCTTTTGCGGCTAATTATGTAAATTTACAGCGTGAATTAATTGTTTTTTCGGTGAAATATGCTAACTGTCGCAGCAGGAGAAAACTGAAATAAACTTTAAGTTATCGAGAAATAAATAAAGTATCTGTAGCTGTGCATCTCGGGTAGCTTTGTATCTTTGTATCTTTGTATCTGTATCTGTAACCGGTTGCGCTTTAGTGGCTCAGGGCTAACCCATAAGATGTATAACACTTGTTTTATGGTCTGTGAATACCCTGTGCACATGCCTAATTGGGTGTGATTGGTTAGGTAGATATCTATATAAATATAAGGCCTTGTATCCATATGCTCTATGTCTTCTTATGCTGGTAAACTGTAGAAGGTATCTAAATGTGATTCCTATTATCTATATTAGTCTGTTAGATATCTTCATGTGATTCCCAGTATCTAATATTTTATTTGTGCTGTGAATACCCTGTGTACATAAGCTGCACATAAATAGATATAAAAGATAGGTAGATATCTATATATTTGTAAGGCATAGTATCTATATGATCTTTATTTTTACATATACTTCACATAAAGGGATATTAAAAAAGATAGCTAGATATCTATATATAATTCCTTGTATCTATTAATTATCTGTATCTTGATATACTTTATGCACTGTATCAATACCCTATATACATAAGTTGCACATAATTCGGGTGTATAAGTTAGGTAGATATCTATATATATATAAAGCTTAGTATCTGTATGATCTATTCCTTCATATGTGTAGGGCATTTGCTAGTCTAGCAGCCCGCAGCTGCATTTCTCTTCAGGGTTGCAGCAGGATTTTTCAGCTAATTAAATCGAATTGCTGGTTCAGCAGATACATGTATGTAGATACATTTGTAGATACATGTTTGTAGATACATGTATGTAGATACATATGTATACAGATCTAGATACAAATATATCTAGATAGATATATGCACAATTGTAGATACATATCTGTAGATAGATATATGCACAAATGTATATACTTCTATATAGATAGATATATGCACATTTGTAGATACATATATGAAGAAAGATATATCCGCAAATGCAGATAGATATATGCACAAATGTAGATACATTTATATAGATAGATATATGCACAATTGTAGATACATATCTGTAGATAGATATATGCACAATTGTAGATACATATCTGTAGATAGATATATGCACAAATGTAGATACTTCTATATAGATATATATATGCACAATTGTAGATACATTTATGTAGATAGATATATGCACAAATGTAGATACTTCTATATAGATAGATATCTGCACAATTGAAGATACATATATGAAGAAAGATATATCCGCAAATGCAGATAGATATATGCACAAATGTAGATAATGTAGATGCTAATAAAAAAAAGAAAAAAAAAAACAGTTTTATGAGCTATGCTCAGACTTCCTTATGAACCGAATAACAAGACGAATCTTTTACAATATTCGACAGCGCATGCTCAGAATTAGAATAATTTAAAAGTTAATACTGTTTTTGACCTTGTTAAGACACGAAAATAAAACCAAAAAAAAAAACAACATAAAAAAATGATTTTAAGTAAAATCGGAGCACGCTGCAAATTTTCGAAATTTATATAGAAAACAAAAATTTGTATACATTATTTGCGAAATGTTAATAAACTAAACACGTTTTTTGAACAAATTCGGACTCTAAATAATATTTTATATAATTACATTTTAAAATTCTAATTGTTATACTCACTTGTGGTTTTAATGGGCACATGTTTTGCGCGCGTGTGTGTGTGTATTTGTTATAAATTAATAATAAAATTGTTGAAAGCTGCTTTAATCCTGCGATTGTCACAATTGTTGCTTCAATTGCGCACACACGTTCCGTATTGTAATTCGTTTGATTTGCTTAAAATACTTTGTTGATTTTCTAGCACAAAAGTCTTAATGTTATTAATGCTCGGCTTCGGGCTTATCACGATTGCTGGACGCGACGTCTGAGAAAATTTATATATATTATTTTTGGTTTTGCATGAACTGCGTGGCTGTTGTCGCTGCTGAGCGTGCGCACTAACTGTTCAGAATATTTGTCACAAATTCACTTTTATATCTGGCCAAAAGCACACGAATCTGCCCCCCGCCTGCCCCTCAGCAGCAGCAGCAGCAGCGGCAGACCCGCGCGCACCGTCCCATGACGCAGACGAACGGGTTTCTGCTGCTGCTCCGGCTGCTCCGTCTGCTCTTCTTGTTGTTGACTGGTTGCTGGTGTTAAGTGCTGCCGTTGTCACGAACTGTGGCCAAGGAGCTGCCGGTGCACACACAGAAGGGGCCGGCAGTGGGTGCTCAGCCCGGCAAAAAACTATGCATTGGACTTGAAGGCGTTGCTCTTGGGCTCGAGAGAGATCTGCGGCTTTGGAACACGAGCTGGACCCTTTCTAGCAATAGAGCTGCCCAGCTCTTGTGGCTTTGTGCTTGTTTTGCTGGCATTCAATCGAAAATGTTTGCTTTGCGCATTACGTACAATTAAAACTTGCCATGACAAAGCAAAGCTGATGACTCTGGGCAGGATTAAGGCGTGGCGTCTAAAAAACAATACGGAAGCCGGCAGCTGGCAGCTGGCAGCTAGCAGCTAGAGTTAACGCTAATCGGCTTCCGAATCGGAAACCCCATTTAAATAACTGGGCGCATTCTTAGGTAGACGAGCTCATTAGGCAAATTGATCCGCTCGGAAAACTGTCAACATCCGAAATGTGGACTGTGTGTCGCGCTCTTGAAACCGATCTCTCAAGCTTAACGCTTGGCCGTTGCCGAAGGTCAGCCAACTTGAGCATATTATTTGGGACAGAAAAAGGTTGACGCAAGTCAGCGAGGCGGCAAGCCGAATGCTCCCTTTGGCAGCATTTCGGGCTGCATATTCCACAGACCATGCTGAAGCCATGCTCACGTGATGCGGCAAAAAAAGAAGAATTCAAATCAAAACAAACCGAGGCGAGTCGAATAAAAACTTGTTGCCAATTCGATTGACAGTTGTCTGAACCAATTCAAACAAATTTGAGTTCATATGATTTGATTTGTGCTGCACACACACATAATTGTCAACACGGCGCTGTCGCAAATGCCAGCGCTTCTTTAACGTTTATTTGTTAATCGTATGCATTTGTTAAATAAATTTAATTTAATTGATTTTTAATTAATTTCCAGCCAGAGCCGGTTTTCAGACAAACAGAGTTAAAACAAACAAATGTCAAAGAGTAAGAGCAAAAGATAGGCAAACCAAAAACAAAAAGAAAACAACGTCACGATACCCTGTAAATATCGCTGCATTTGTAACAGGCCATTTGTCATCTAAAGTTCTTGAGAAATGCAATTAGCACCATTTGTGAATGAGACATTGCATTGCATTGCTCTGGCATTTATCTTTGGCATCAGCATCATTTCGGCCAACTAATTGATAGAAATATGGGCTGGAATACGCGCTGCTTCCGTCAAGAGGTGCTAAACAGAGTTTTATGTGCATGTGAATGTGTGGAACTCGGAACTGGGGCTGTGGCTGTGGTTGGGGCTGTGACTGGCACCGCCGGATGGGCGCTAAGCAATTTTCACCAGGGCCTGCCCTGATTGCTGTGCTACCCTATGACTCATGTTAACCATAAATGATTCATTAAGTAAAATATAACACGTAAACGGCTTGAACTCTTCACGGTTCGATAATTGAGATGTGGAAAGAGCCATTGATTAATTGTTTTAACAGCTAAACGCAGCCTCAAATTGATGTCAGTAATCCTTAGCAAATCGGCTAGGTATGTCGTATTTATTTACTTAAACACTTGTCACATTGTTGCTTGTTGTTTGTTTTTTTCGCCGTGTACGTCACTGCAAAGCGTTTAATTAACACTTGGCAGCTCGTCACAATGTTTTAATGATGGAAATTTAAGGCTGGTGTGCCGATTTTTCCTTAATTAAAAACATTCTGCTAATAAGAGCATACACATACATCAAGTCGTTTGTTGCCCAAATTCAATTTAGCACAACATTAACATCGCATTGTGGAAAAGTTTATATTTTGAATTTCGCGGATCTGCATCAATTAGGTGGCAACGCTGCGCGCACGTGAAGTTGGCAGCAAGCCTGTTTGTCGTGGCTTGAAGTTAGCTGCACGCAGCTTCCAACCGGTTTGATGTTCGTTGCAGTGCGCTGTCCAACCCGTTTGAAATGCGCTGCCCGCGAAAATGTTCAAACGGGGGAAATTTGTTGTTTACCCGTTTTTTAAATTAATTCAGCCTATAAAATAACATTGGCCAATCGCAGTTGAAATTATTGTATGCTATTGCAAAAAAAAATTAATACCAGCCAAATAAATGATAGTGAAAACTTTTGTAGTTTTAAGCATATGTTTCTATAACCGAAATAAATATGCATAGTATCTGCACATTTTAATTAATATGATACGGGGAAAAAGTAACAAAAGTACCCAAAAAAGTCTATTGAATAAATAAAGTACCAGTTTTTTTTTTGAATTTGTACATGCGCTAACCGTTAACGAAAACTCACCTCTGGCCTCTGTTAATGTTAACATTCTAAGAGAGCGATAACACGGGGCAGACAATTTGAAGATCTCTTGACGCAAGATGAATATCGTAAATGCGGTGTGAGTGCTATTTGAGTGCTGTTATTGCGCTTGCTTGCTTATTCACTTTGTTACAAAAATTGTTAGTGGCCAAATCTTTATTTTTATTTAAAAAATACAGTGTTTAATACAGGTGCAGGTGCCGGTATGTCCCACTAGTTGATTAATCGTGATCGTCGTGTTTTTACTGCCGTTTTTTTTACTGCGGTTAAAGTGGTAGCATTTTGTTTTCGTCGGAATTAAAAAATTTTACCGATCGTGTCTGTGTTTGCCTGTGTGCGTAAGTGTACATGCACACACACACATACATACAAGCAAACAAACAACAAGTACATACATTTCGATGTACAATTATTATAGCTAAGCATGTTTCGTGCGTTTTTTGTTGCTGCTATTCGGTTGCTTGATAAACACAAAACACATTTTAATATTTAACTAATATTTATAATTCGCACACACGTAATCGCAACGCCAAATTGTGAGAGTATATCAGCCGAGCTATTTTCCACTGCGGAGCGTCGGCACAGGAGCAGCACGCACACGCACATGCACACTTATACACACATAGTTGCATTTACTTGTGCTTTTTCGACTTTAACTGTTATAATTTGTTGATTCTCCTTTGACACGCGCTTCTCTGTCGCGTTGTATGACAAAGGGTATGTGCACGTCGTTTGGGCTGTGATGAAAGAACCGAATTTTAGCAGCAATAAATTGTTGTACTTTTTTCTATATGTATGTATGTATTTATTTTGTTGCTCTTTCGTGTGGCTGCTCTCTTGTTACTGTTGTTGTTATTGTTATTGTTATTGTTATTATTATTATTATTATGTGTTGTTACTGTTGCTTTCGGCTGCGATTAGAATTAATTGACAAATGGCAAAAAAAAAGAAGAAAAAAAAAACAACGAAACAAATATGTTGCCTTTGTGCTTGCTCTTCGCATGCAGTAAAAGCAAAAGCAAAGCCAAAATCAGAAGCAAGCCAAAAGCAATAGCATTAACAGTTGAAATGGTTAACTGGCCAGAGAATACATGAATTTATTAAAAATATACACGTTCAAATAGAACAAACGAAAAAACTCAACCGGGTTCGTTGACCGGCTACAACAACAACAACAACAACAACAACTCACATAAATAACAGCAACAACAACAATAGACAGCAGCGGAGGCAGCAGAGAAGAATAGTGTCAAGCGAGATTAGCTTCAGAAATAGAAACAGCCGTAAGCATAGGCATAGCCATAACATAGACATAGCCATAACATAGGCTAACCGAAATTAACACCTGTTGCACGCGTCGCTTTCGTTATGTTATTAACATGTTAACCCTGCGATGGCCATGTGCGCTATTCAGCAGTTGCTGCGTTTTTGGGCACAGTTTCAAGGTGTTATATCTTGACCTTGGGAATTGTGCGCAACTATTAACCCATGGTTGGCTTGTTTTTGCAAATGTGTTTTAAGTTTAATATTTGTTCTAGCTCTTGCAGTTACACAAACAAACAAAAATTGAAAAATTGCATTTAAATTGTTAAATAATTAAGTATAATGGCATCTGCACCGCAAAGCAAAAGGCAAAAACTATCCGATCCGCAATGTGTAGAGGATATTGTACCGTTAAACTATAAGGAACTGGATATTATCGGCACAGGTATGTATGTGTAAATGTTTGAATGAATTTGAATGATGCATATAGAATGCGAATCGAGTGTGTATAACAGTTTACAGTTTCGATATGAACAACATGTAGGGCAGTATCCTTCTGCTATAGCCTAACCAATTGCGCTTGTTTTAAACTTTAACAACCGCATCGAATGCACTGACAAGGGGAAATACTGGGTTTTCAATGTAGTTTCAATTGCAGAACCAACTCCCCAGTCTTGTAAATAGGGTTTATACAATTTCCATAGCATACTTTCAGGAAAATTTTCAAAACCACGTGCATTTCAGTTTGAAAAATGAACAAAAACAAGCAAATAAAATCGACAGCTGCAATATTCGAATAGGAAGTCAATAAACATCTCAAGCTCTTGATAGTGTATATTTTTTTCCAAAAAATATCTCCACATATTTGTATCAATTACGTCACAGAGCCCAGTGGAGAGTTAAGAGGTGCGCACGGTGAATGTTAATAATGCTTATTATGACTGGTTTTTTTTTTTTTAATTTTATTTTGGCATGTTTTAGCATGGGCGTGCATGTAGAAGGGATGCGTCGAGTGCGGGGCAACAATGGGTTAAGCCTGCGCTAGTTTCTCTGCGTGGCAGATCAAGTTACATTTTGAAGATAGTAGCTAACTGTTCCAAGCCTCCCCTTCTCCAGTTCCATGAAAATAACAAAAAAAAAAAAAAAAAAACAAGTTCAACTTTTTTCTAAAAAAGACATTGAAAAAAATGTATCAGCTTTTGTTGCTTTTGTTGGTTTTTTGCCATTTTGCTGTTTCGCATTCATTCAATTATTGCCTCTTGCTTTTGCGTTTTCGGATATCTGTTCGCTGTTTGTTGTTGTTGCTGTTGTTGTTGCTGTTATTGTTGCCTTTGATTTTGTGCAAAATGTTGTGACAATTGAAAGAGCAGACGCAAAAACGAGTCGACGAAATAGTCGATCGAGTGCGAATTTCTTCCTCTGTTCATTGTTTTGTTTTTGTTTCTCTGCTTTCTGCTTCTTCTTTTCCGACTCTTTTGTTATATATGTACATATGTATGTATGTATGTATATTGTAGCAAACCTGGCCTTGTACTTGACTTTTGTAGCTTTTGCTGCGAGCAGTCACACAAAATTTTGATTCCGAAATACGACGAATCGTCGATTCGGCCAGACATGCGGAAAATGTTAAATGAAAGTGAATGTCACCCGAAATAGAACTCCCACGCCTCATGCCATCTGTCCGAATGCCGTGTCTAACTTGTCTGTCCGCCTGTCTGGCACGCCCACCCGCCCGTCCGCTGATAAATTTCCGGTGACAGAATTTTGTCTTTCTAATTTGAATCGATGCATGTCACGCTCTTTCTCTCTGCCTCCCTCCCCCCCTCTCTCACCATCTCTCTGTCTCTCTCTCTCTCCCACGCAGCCAAAAATCAGCCGGTTACTTATCAACACAGCTGACTGCATGATTTTTTTGTTCTTCTTCGTTTTTTTTGACGTTTCGCTTTTGGGTTTGGGCTCTAGCTATCATTTGCTATGTACATATTTGTGTGCGAAATTTCTATTTCGTACGAAGTATACATTTGTACAATTGTATATATAAATTCACTTGTTCTTATCTGCATGCTCTCCTTGTCTTTCCATTGGGTCTTTTGTTGATTAACATTTTTTTCGAGTTTGCAATTTACTTTTGACTTTACTTTTCTTTTCCCTTGATAGGCATAACTGTATTCCCTATATGAATGCGTGCGTGCGTGCGTGCGTGCTTATGTGTGTATGTGTGACCTATTTCTGTATAACACAATTGCAAGCGACGCTTTCGCCAACAATTACATTTACATGAACATTGTCTTTACAGGCGCCTACGGCACAGTTTATCGGGCACGCGACAATATCACGGGGCACTTTGTGGCCATTAAGAAGGTACGCATTGCACTCACCGAGAATGGAGTGAGTGCGTCCACGCTGCGAGAGATTTCGCTCCTTAAGCAGCTGAATACATATGATCACGCGAATATTGTCAAGTGAGTACCGGCACATACATACATACATACATATGTATGTACACACAAGTACATGCATACAAATGTTATCTTGGTGGCGCCTCACTATTTGCCAACTAATTTAAAAAAAAGTCGTTACGTTACGCGGCGAACACAGATTACAGACAATGGCATTGACTTGTGTGGGTGTGTGTGTGTATTTTCGCACACTCAAGCGGAGCTGTGCGGTTATTAGCAGCTCTCTTGTGTTTATCTTTCGCTTTCCACGCTTCTTTATTGTCTGCTTCTCTTCAACTGACCCAGAGCAGGCGCTAAAACAAGCGTAACTGTAACGGTCGCTGCATAGCACGCCTACAAAATTGCATTCCACACACACACACACGCACGTATTGACAGTGGCATGTGCATATAAAATTGTTATACCAAACGTCAAACGGCGCCGGCTTGCCCTGCGGCTGCTGATAACGACGTCGCAAATTTTGTTTGCAACAACAGCCAATAGCTAATCTATTGCCTTGGGGAAATTGAAGTAGGACAGCAATCAGCCAGCTAACTGTTGCAATGACTAATAAATGCAAAATTGCCCATAACTAGAACAACATTGTTTATAAGTCAAATTAACTTATACCAACATGTTGTTGCGCTTTTGCAAAAATACTTTGAAACGCACCTAAATTCATATACAGCAGCGACCATTGCGGCGGCATTAAGTACTACATGCAAATACCACTCAAACGCTCTCAGTACTAAAAGTCGCTTGGCACTCGACGCGCAATTGGTTATTCCGCTCGGCTCTCAGCTACGATATTACGATCAAGAGTAAATTGAATAGCGTAAATGGCTCATAGCGTTAAAGAGCGGACGCAGCGGAATGTTAGCTTTGCCGCTGTTCAACCGCTTAAGCATTTTACCGTATTTTTGGGCCAGAGCTCAAAATGCTTAGTTTTGCATCTATAATGAAAAAAACCCATTGCGAATCAAATTTAAAAATTAGTTAAACTGTTGCGAAATAATAATAAAATAAAAGCATTATAAAATGCATATTCAAATTAATTTTCTAAAAATTCTAAAATTTGTAGTAAATTCATAGCAAATCCGCAATTCACTTAACAGTGCTGCAGAACTGCTGGCTAACAGAATGTTAGCAAGCGACTCTCTCCAATTGAAACAGGGGCAATTATGTTATTCATTCCGGCGCTCGCCACTGTATATGCTCTTGATCGAACGTGTTGTCGAAATTTCCATAATTCGTATGAGTGGAGTGTTTTTTGTAGTACGCCAAATGCCCGCAGCGCGGCTAATGGCGCTGCAAGAGCTAGCCATTTTATGCCAGCACAACGCACACTAGCACAACCGATCAGTTCATTAACTGCACACACACATACACTCAAATGTTATAATTTCCCCTCTCCACAGACTGCTCGACGTATGCCAGTTCTTGGAACGCGATGGGAAATTGTTGATTTTGCTGGTCTTCGAGCACTTGGAGCAGGATTTATCCGACTTGATAGAAGCCTTGCCGCCCTCCGGCATGTCGCCCACAAATATACAGGTAAAGCATAAATTACAGAGTATTTGATGTAATTTCAATGAATTTATTTATTAATTGCAGCGCCTGTCGCGTGAGCTATTGACCGGAGTGGACTTTTTGCACGCCCATCGCATCATTCACCGAGATTTAAAGCCGCAAAATCTGCTCGTCTCGTCGCAGGGCCATTTGAAGATAGCCGATTTTGGTCTGGCCAAGACCTACGGCAGGGACATGAAACTCACCTCGGTTGTGGTCACCCTGTGGTATCGGGCGCCCGAGGTGCTGCTCGCCCAGGGCTACAACAGCTCGGTGGACATCTGGAGTGCGGCCTGCATCATATTCGAGCTCTTCAATCGCAAGCCCCTCTTTCCGGGCAACTCCGAGAAGAATCAACTGGATCGCATATTCGAGTGGGTTTCCCCATCAATCGATCCTCCCCATTCCTTAACTGTATTTTAACCATTTTATCTGTTCTGTTGCAGACTAACGGGACGTCCCACGGAGGAGCAATGGCCCAAGAGCGTGTCCATCTCGCGGGAGCACTTTCCGCCACGCAGTCGCAAGCGACCCTCCGATTTCTGTCCGGATCTCGGCAAATTCGCCGACAATTTGCTGGACGTAAGTGAATTTCCCCTTCCCCCTCTCGCCACTCCCCTTTCTCGACTTGTTAACAGATCCCGTTCACATTTATCTCCCGCAGCAAATGCTCTCGTATGAGCTTCACGAGCGTCCCACTGCGCTGGCCTGCTTGGAGCATGAGTATTTCCAGGAGGAGCCCTTGTAGAATCCACTTTGTCATGGGGCTGAGTTCCCAGTTAAACATGTTCCTTTACTTTATATATATATATGTATTTTTTTTTTAAATATTGTTTATCAAGCTTAAATGTAATTGTTAATCAACTGCCGTTAAACGAAACTCGAGGATTGCGATCCTGTCTAAAATGTGATACACAAAGTTCAGGACTAAACTCATGGTCGGGCATATACCATATACCCTATAGAGTATACCCTATATAAATGCTATATGCCACATGCAACTAATTATATTCAAAATTATACACATGTATATATATTTAGGCATAACTACACTATTTTTATACACATTTATATATAAACATACATATTTTTTAGTCCTAATATCTATTCTGTAAGCGCATGAAAATATTGCATTTAATAAAGAAGTCAAATTCAAATAAGGCGCGCATGTTATAACAGTCTTATACATTTGTCAAGTGGCTTAACATTGCTACTCTTATAAAAGCTGTTATGTTAGGCGCTGCAAAGCAGCACTGTTATTTACGTTATGCTATTTAACAGTGATCGTAAGTGAGAGCATTATAAGAGCTGCTCTGTTACAGTAGCAGATGTTAAGCAACAGCGGGCGCAAGTGTTGTACAACGTTAAAAACGTATTTTATTTACAAATATTGTTCAAATCTTTGGCTTAATTGGAATGTTCATAAATATATCACGTTTATGCTTAGGCTAACCCAACGATTATGTAAAAGACCAGCGGCAGCACCAGATTGTCCACCTGATCGGTAAAGGCCTCCACCAAAGCCGTGTTGAGCGCCGCAAACAGCGTGGCGAACCATTTGGCCTGGCTCATGACCAGGACTCCGCCCAGCTGCAGCAGCCAAACGGAGAGCAGCACGGACAGCACAAAGGCCACGGTGCCCTCCAAGGAGCGACTGGAATCTGCAATTAAATCTGATTATAATCAACATGCACTTGCTTTTGTGTGTAATTTCGTACTGGCCCACTTGTTGCGTCCGTACTTGGAGCCCAGCACGCTGGCGGCCGTGTCGCCGACGCCCACAGAGAGTACGCCGGATAGGAGCAACAGCAGCGGACTCTCCGGGGCGGCCGTCTGGCAGGCGCAGGGGCAGGGCGTCAGCCAAATGGGCAGCGCGCAGCCAATCAACAGGCAGAAGGGCGTCAGCGCCAGCTGGCCCGCATCCTTGACATCCTTGAAGGAGTCGAAGGCCTTTGCTAAAGTGTCCGCAAACGGCGGCATCTGCAGCAGACGCAGCAGCTCCAGCACCACGAATATGGCCAGAGCAATGCCCGTGGCAATGTAGAGCAAGGCGCACTGATAGACCAGGCCGGGCACAAAGACCAGCACGATCAGCAAGTGGAATATCTTGCGCATCCGCGTGCTCGCCTGCGTCGAGTTGCCCAGCTGCCAGCTGACGGTGGCGCAGGTGAGGCCCACGAGCAGCAGATAGAACGCTATGATGAACAGCTGGCGGGGAAGAGAGAGAGGGATCTGAATTAACTGAAATCTCGTATATCACACAGGCGCCACTCACTCTGATCTGCTCCTTGAACATGAACTGGAGCAGGGCAATCAGGGGCAAGGGCTGGGTTACGGGCGCGCAGGTGACGGCCGCGAGCAGCAGCAGCATCAGCAGGTAGAAGGGCAGCGGCTGGCGCAGGAATCGCAACAGCGCCAGCAGCACGCAGGCGCACAGCAACGAGACTAAGGCACTCTGCATTATGGCATTCAATTGGCCAAAATCAGATGCGGGCTTCGGATCCGACCACAGCCGGAAACTGGCGTTGAGCAGGAAGAGCACGAGTCCCTGCACCAGAATTGCAGCCTCGCCAAAGGTGAATGTCTGGGGCAGACCGCGCAGCACGCTAATGTAGACATGCTGGTAGAGGCGGATGAGCAGCAGGCCAGCGATCAGGGCAAACGGCCAGGTTATGTCCAAGAGCAGCGTCAGCCAGAGGCTGGTGGCAATGCCGGGCAGCAGGTTGCTCGCACGCTCAATAAGGGGTCCAGTCTTAAGGTAGGAACTCAAGAGAAAGAAAAGCGTCCGCAGGCACATGCCAATTGCGACTGCAATCAGAAGCTGATGCACTGCATCCGTGGGTGGACAGGCCGGCGACGCGGTCTGTGTATGCAGATAGCTTGTGATCAGGGCCGTGGGCAATAGCAAGCATAGCCAACCGCCCGTCGAAGCATGGGGCCTAATCACAATTGAGCTGTATTAGTCATAAATTAAACATAAAAGAACTTTGTTTACCTGGGCAAAAGTCGCTCGAGCATACTTTTAATATATGCAACTGTGTTGTGCAGCACTTGAAAGTGGTGAGTAGTGCGCTATCGATTTATCGATTGCAGTCAAGTATCGTTTGCTGCTCCACCACTGTTAAGCTTAACAGGGCTCAGGTGTGGTGGCGCGTTGATAGTCAGAAACTATCGATACCGATCGAATATCGACGTTGTTTGAGTGTAAACATTATAAATTATAAATAAATAAATGAGTCCCGTTCCGTCTGCAGCAGCGTCAAGTTCGAAGACACACCTGAAGTCGCAGTCGCGCGTCTACGTGCCATTATTTCGTGACTTTCGAGTGCTACTAACGCGGCCAAATCGCATAAAAATAGCAACGTTATACAAATACAAATTGTGGCCCGCTGTCGTGTGTTAAATGTGCATTTAAAATTCCCCAAAATACGGAAAGAGTTCTTTCTTCTCGTTTCACACAGTGTATTGTGCCAAATCAGAAATCTTTATTATTTCTGAACACCAGCAGTGCATATACGAATATCACACACACACACACACACACATTGCTGCTCCTTCAGTAATTCAATTTTTATTGTTGCTGCCGTTAATTGAATGTCCGAAAATAAAGGCATAATGCTGGCTAAATCTATGCAAAAACACGCTGGACGTGCCAAGGAGAAGGTAAGCTGTCATTACTATATACGATATATGCATTTGTTGGAGGCAGTTAAGCAATGGGGCCAAGAAATCTGTGACATTTTCTAGGGCGTGTGATGCACTGTTTTGTAGCACAAATGCCGCCCACTCGAGCGCCCAACTGTAATACCCTTGGTTGGGGGTCGTGTCCCTGTCCTATTTCCAATGGTGCAGCTGTCTGTAGCTCTATAAACACACGCACACACACACGTACACACTCACACACATACTTAAGCAAAAGAAAGTACAAACAACTTTTACATATGTACATATGTACATATATACATTTATGTACATATATAACTGTTGTAAATGTTATACACAAAAGCTGTCACAGAAGATGCTGCAACGCCACCTGTCGTCTCGCTAGGGCGCTGCAATTCGAAGCTCTTCTCTTCTCTTCTCTTCTTTTTGTTGGGCGATCAAGTTTCTGGCTACGATTTTGAGCACTCAAAGCTTCGGCTCTGCCTGTCTCCTCTTGTTTAATGCTTCTCTTGTTTCATCTTTGCCGCCGCTGCGTGCACAAGTGAAAGTTTGGCGCTCAAGCGTTGGTCCAGGAGCGGCTGCTCAGCCTTAATGTGAATGTCAATACACGCACACACCAAAAGACAAACAGCCGACACATATACATATGCATATAAATGAGTGTAAAAGAGCTGCATTTTGACCCACTCGTTGGCACGTCGCGATGTCTTGTAAACAAGTTTTCGGCCACAGCCAAAGCAGCATTCCAATGCTGCCAGAAAATGCTGTAATCTAAGCTCTGAATGATGCTTTTTCTTTCAAGCGCCTTACTCTTTCGTTGTATTGATTTGCTGCTGTCTCTCTTCCACGCTCCCCATCTGTCTCTCTGTGAGTGTGTATATGTGTATGTGTGTGTGCTGCTGCTTGGCATTTACAGTTGGATTTCTAAAGTTCGTTGGTATTTTCTATGCTCTTTGGGATGCGCTCGTGTTGGTCATTAAACTTGAACAAATTCTTTGGGCCTTTTCTAAATGTCGTATTGCAGGTTTTTCAATGTATTTTTAAATCTAGTCAGTGCAGCCAGTCGAAGCATGCTATTCACTTAGTATTTCCTGGAATTGTAATTAGAATAGATTACACATTCGTATTAACTGTAATACAGTGAATGCTCGAAAGCAGCAACTTCAAATTATAACTACTGTTCTTATTGGAAATATGTAAAGTTTGCTCTACTTGGCGAGTGTTCACTGTACTGTAAATTTCTATAGAAGCACACACTCGTATTTACATGCATATCCAAAAATTTCTAAATGTTCTAATTTGCCTTTTTCTTTTTTAATTTGTGCAGAGTGTAGAAAGAAGAAGAAGAATTGGATATTTCATAATTTGCGTAGAGTTTATTTTTAAAATTATAGACTAGTTTGTACTGAGCACGTTTCGCTGCCCGGCGCTTTGTATTTGCGCATTGTGTGCTCATTTCAATAAATGTACAATGTATGTAATACACGAGAGATAGAGATACAGTAAGAAAGAGAGAGGGAGAGCGAGAGAGAGCGAGAGAGAGAGAGAGAGAGAGAGAGGCGGAACAGGCTGCTGTGCGCCCCAGCAAAGAAGACCGTAGACGAGTAAAAGGCACAGCATTTGCTTTAGAGAAAACTTGTCAAATCGCAACACACATTCGTCGCATAACTACAAGATACACATACGTATGCCTAGATAGATTTTCATTTTGGGTGCGTGACTGGCCCAACAACGTATCCGTACGTGAAAATGTCGCCTGGCAGTCAATCTTTAAATAGAGACGCCTCTCTCTGCGCTCCTCACTCTTCCATTCTCTATAGATACAAATGTATCTTTTGTCTTATAACTCTATGTGCTGGCTGTCGTAGCTGCCGCCTTCGATTTTGTATACATACATTTTTGCGCAAAAGCTACCCAAAACGCTTTTCTATCGCATAAGTAATTTTATTTGAATTTATTTTATTTCATTTTGAGTATGTTGTATGATTTTTTTCTTATTTTGCGAAATTTCGCCCGCGCTGTTGTCTCGCATTTTTGTTGCTATTTTTAAGCGCGTCCCGCAACAGCTGCCAAAATTTGCTTTTCACTTAGTTGTTGTTCACTATCAAACCCTTCCCCTCCCCCACCCTCTGCCCCTCTCTTTGGCTGCTTAACTGCAGGCAGCGATTGACATTTTATTGGCAGCTCAATTTATAGAAACTCACAAACTTGCCTGTTGCATATTGAACTTCGTGTATGTCGTCGCCGTATTTTAGCCTCGTCTTCTGCTGCCGCCTCGGCGCTCTTTAAATGTCAATTGTTTTTGGCTGAAACAAGATTGCGTAAAAAGGCAATCATGATTTTATAATTGTATTTCAAACAGATTAAATGAGCTGAGAACAGTTCAATCAAAGATTTCATAAGATAATAGCACTAATAATTGAACTGATAAGTAAACGCAAGGGCTTAGCTAAAAAAGCAAATGTTAGTTTTGTCAGAAACCAAGACAAACAAAATTGGGGGAAAACTTGAAGCGAATTGGAACTAAGATACTCTAAAGACTGGCAATTATTTATATATATAAGTATTAAGCTTTCCAAAAACAATAATTCAATACATAGGAATGTTTTAGATTGTGTCGAGTGTTTTCTGTTTTCTCAGGCGCAAACATGAAGTACTGTCGTTACAGTAATCCAAAACCCAAAAGCTAAGACTATACCCGAAATCGAGTCATATTCGAAACGTGGCCAAAGTTAACAATAAACAAGCAATTAAATAAATACTTGGAAATGTTTGAAAATTGAGTTGAGCACAAATTACTGAAGCGCCAGCAGTTTGTAACCAAAAATGAAAAGCGTCTACTTGAGTTACAGATTTTATAAATATATTTGACGACACGCTTGGCTGGCTGTCATTGATTCGAACCTATTGATTAGCAGGTGCAGCGCGTACGCCCCCAACCAGACGAAATGGGGGGTGTTAACCCAGCTGCAGATCGCGTATGAAGTGCCTCAATCGAGCAGACAACAGATTACGAATACTCGATTGGAGTATGCGTATGGAGATACGAGGCTGGGTCGCAGAGACAGATACAAATACACACACACAGATACCATTCATTCACTGATAAAAGGCTCTTGTGTGTGTGTGTGTGTGTGTGTGTATCTGTGTGTGTATTTTCGTGCTGTAAGCCATTTGATTATGGGGTATTTGTGGCGAGGCGAGCTTATTAAAAAATTCAATTATAGAAATTGCCAACAATAATAATCAACGCAAAGTGACGACTGCGCAATGTGGGAAATGTTTTCATATTTATTATTATATACTAGCATATATATATATATTTCTTTTCAATTTTTTCTCTCCTCGAAGTTTTCTTTTATGGAATATGTCGCGTCACTCGGCTGATTGCATAACAATTGAATTACGTTTAGACATTTATCGGCGGCACTTCACTTGATTCATTTCATTTGATTTCATTTTCATTTTATGCAATGCAATTGTCCAGCAGCCACAACAACGGACATTTCTTCAATAGCTCAGAGAAATTGAAATCCTCAACTAGATATTCTGTGAGGTTCAAGTGCCGAGGCATGAACTCTGCGCGTATTCATCTAAAGCTCTTGAGTGTTTGGCTTGAATTCATTATCAACACCTTTGTGCGCTGTGCCATAAAGCACACAACTTTAATAAAAATATCCACAAAATAGGAAAAAAAACACAAAAAACAATAACAAATCTAATAAGCATGCCAAGTGAGCAGCCACATTTGAAGTGGTTGGCAAGGTCAATTACGGTTCGCAGTGCTCCACAGGTCGTATACGTAATTTGGTGTTGTTAACTTTTTATTAGCTGCGCTCGCACGAATACAGCGACAACAGCAAGAGAAACAATGAAAACCCAACTTAGAACTTAACTTACTGCAATTAAGATGATCGTGTGATTGAATCGATGTTAACTCAAATTATATATATATATATATATATATGGCATTAGCCTTGACTGTTCAGTTTTGACAGCCATTTTGCATTTTGGCAACATCTTGAAACATATATATACTCGATTTTAGCATGTGTTTCATCAAATATTTCGGCACACTATAATTTCGCAATATGCCAAAATCAATGAACTGGCGCCGAACTGTTTATTGAGTATAGGAAATTTATGACAAATGCATTAATTATACTTATCTGTAGAGAAAGTAATGCTAAAAGCACAAAATATACCAAGAATTTTAGATTTAATGCCTCGCATACCTACTTTTTAGGGCATATGCTTTTGTTTAAGCTGCAATTTGCTTTATTAATTGTAATGTATATATATGTATATATATACTGATGAGAACTATATTGCCTGTTCATTAATGAACTTTGGTAAATTTGGGCT